GACCAAAAGGGTGTTGTTTACTATGAGCTGCTGAAACCTGATCGATTCCATTACGGGCGATTGATATCGGCTACAATTGATTCGTTTGAGCCGTGCATTGCGAGAAAAACGGCCGGAATACGAGCAAAGATATGATAAAGTTTTTTTTTTTCATGATAACGCTCGGCCTCATGTCACTAAAGTCGTAAAAAAATATTTGGAAACGCTCAAATGAGATGTTTTACCGCACCCGCCGTATTCTCCGGAAATTGCTCCTTCTGATTATTGGTTGTTCCGAAGGATGCAGTACGATTTGGCAAGTCATCGGTTCACTTCTTTCGCAGAAATCGAAAATTGGCTCCAAAATTGGATCGCCTCCAAAGACGAGTCATTTTTTCGAGATGGAATTCGAAAATTGCCTGAGAGATGGGGAAAAGTAGTAGCCAGCGATGGACAATACTTTAATTAATCTGTTCATTCATTTTGTTTTGAAATAAATGCATTTTTGAACAAAAAAAATGAATCGAACTAATTTGTACTCCTAATATAATAAAGCTATTTATAATAAAATTGGGATAAACAATATTTGTGTTTTGTAATGTGCAATATTTTTCCCATAGAGCCTTCAGTTGATGAATAATATTTATAATATACAATGGCTGTCACTTAGTAATAGCAGCAAAAAAGGTCTCTTAATAGTCATGAGACGCGCAATGAATCCTATCGAATTTAGTAGTGCGTATATAATCACGATGAATCTTGAGTCATTTGTAGCTGTTAGTATCAAAGATAAATATTATTACTAAATATATTACAACTACTTTAAATAATTTTTAATTTACAATTTTTACAGTTACTTAAAATGTCATACTCGGCTTTCAACTTGTTGCATCAAACACAAGATTAATAACAAATGAATAAAATTACTATTTAATTAACAAACGTTATTGTTCAATCAACGTGTTATAAAATCACTTACATTTTAATTATCATTTACATTTCATTAAATACAAAATTCATACTTTATTAGTAATTAGATAGACTTTCATGAAACTTATATATACAATTCTTACTAAAAATCTTCATTGACATTAATTTTAGTAGCATTAAAAAAAAAAAATTCATAAATTAAATCATGTTAGTATTTCAAAAATTTCACATTAGTATTAAAAATAAAAAATTGTTACAAGCATTTTTGTAATGTGTTTTCTTCTATATTTCTCCATATTTCTAATGTAATGATATTATAAAGTATTAAAACTATTTACTTTTTATCTAAATATTCTGATTTATTATTTAGCATCTTAGTCAACAAAACATTTTGGATTGGATTAAATGTTACGGAAATATTATAGCAGACACAATTTCATATAAGCAATTATAAAAAAAAGTTCTGTTTAAGTTACCAATGTAGTGACGTTTGGATAGCTTTATAACTAAATCTAATTAATAATTAAAATTTTTTTCTTTACCTTATTTATTTTCATTGAAGGACAGAGTATGCAAATTATAATATAGTTTTATAACATACAAATGGAAGCATCAAAATATAATGCGCGCACGCCATTTCAGGCGTGTCTTTTTTTAATTTTCCATAACAAGAAAAACTATAGCTTCAAAAATTTTACAAAAAGTTACCGAAATATCTAAAGATGAGTTTTTGCAAAAAAATTTTAATTTTTAACTAAGTTCTAAATTTTTGATTAAGTTCTAATTTAAAAAGATGATGTTAAAGTAATTAAAATTAAAATAATTTAAAAAATATTAGTTTTTCAAATAAAGATGCTTATACCTTATCGGCCATTTTTCTTCGTTTGTAACTACACAGCATTGGACTTTTCACGTTAGATATTAATATGTGAGAGAACAATATTTACAATCCATCTATACAATATTATTTACAATCCATCTATAATAAAATACACAATTTTGGTACTCACAATGTTTTGATATAGCTTACTTTAGTTATACTTTGACTTGTATTGCATCTCGATGCATAAGAGCTGAGTTATAAACTGTAAGATAATAAAAAAGTATACCATGCAAAATCGAGTATCTGGTTGGTATTAAGATTTTATGGACACCGATTACTATTTTATTAACTAATATTAAGGGTATACATTTCTTGATATTGTGAAAATATATAGTAGTAATAAATATTTTGTCATAGGTACAATAAGAAAACTATATCGATCGTGGAAGTAGTTGAAGGCTAATAATTTATTAAAGAAAATTCTAGGAATTTACTTTTCCGAATTATTTATCTTACTTCTGTACCGCTATCGCTATGTAAAATAACGGGATATTACGCAATTTTTCAATAAAACATATATCTCGTAAAAACGTTGTGCCTTCGTTCGTAAAAATATTCTTTGACATTTATCGTAGATGCAATATTATGTTAATAATCCAAGTAAAGACAAAGACATATTTGTAAGGGTTACAAATAGCATCACTACCGAAAGTAGACTCATAAACATTCGGAGTATCTCGATCCTTTGTAATCCTTTGCTCTATCTGTTTTTGTTTAAGATAACAACTTACATATTTATTTTTTTAATTGTGTGTCAATTTAATAAATTAATTTTGTAAATATTTGACAGGCAGGATAATATAAAATACAAAGGAGTGAATTAATCAGTAAGTTAAAGTATTTAAAAAATATAAAAATGTAATACGTGTTACATCCAAAAGTTTAACTTTTAAAAAAGATTTATATCTAAAATAATTTATTTATTAACTCATTTGGAAATTAATTTGGAAACTACATAAAGGAGAGAAATATATAAAAAAAATTTTTCTTCAAAAATATATTTCTTATAAATAAAATAAAATTGAAAATAGAATTTTTACAGCAATTCCGAGATAGTATTGCAATTAGTACTTCTTGAGCTTTACAATCTTTCTTATTGTTTTCTATAACATATACTGTTTTTTATAATAAAATTAAATTTATTTTGTGTAATCTTTATAAATAAGATATTTCAATTATAATAAACAGTGTTTAATATTATGTAAGAAATATAAAGAATATTAAATTTCTAATATAATTGTATAAATATATGCGGCTAAGAATCTGGCTAAAATTTCGTACACATATCTATCATAATTGATGATACAGTTTTCTCAAATATCTTCCTAAAAGAAGACATTGATCGGCGTAATCGTGCACGAGTTATCATGAAATTAACATATTTTAATTAATTTGCTGTTCAAATTTAGTGTTTGTGTCGGTACGACAATCTTAAATTCTCAGAGTATTGCTTATGCTGCTCTTGTTCTGTATAGTTAAATAAGCAAGCTCTCTGTTTATTGACGGATTTAATTACTTCATTAACTATCACGGTACGCAAATTACAACATTCCAAAGTACGTTCATTTTCATGAAAATGTTAGCTATTTTAAGTGTAATGTTACACCTATGCGATAAATTTTAATCAAAATTTCTTACACTGAAGGTCTTATAATTAATAGCAATTTGTGTAGGAAAAATTGAATTAGAACAGTTCAATGCACGTGCTGAAATTTACCCTCACTATCTGTACAATTGCTGGATTTTGGCAACCGCCTTCATGGACATCCTTGTTGAATCATATAATTTACAAAACTTACGCAATGTTTCTGGTCCTTTCATTAAATATATTTGCAATATCCCAATTTATGGACATCATACTGAATGTCGATAATTCTGACGAACTCACCGATTCATTATACATGATGTTGACCGTATTTGTCGCGGGTTATAAAAATATTTGTTTGTGGGTAGATCGTAAAAATGTCAGAATGCTAGTCAACGTTCTCCGCGAAAAACCTTTTAAACCAAATGAATTTCACGAAATAACAATTCGACAGCAATTTGATAAAAGGATACAGTAAGTATAAACATATATATATATATATATATATACATATATATATATATATATATATATATATATATCCATGTAATATGTATATTTAATTATAATAATATACAATATTCTTTAAATGCATTTATCTCACAACTTACATAAAAAAATTCTTTATCTTTATACTTAAACAAATTAAAAATTAATTAAATAAGAATTGATAAATAAATTTATTTACATGATATAATAATTATGAGAGAATAAGATATTTCAATTATAATAATCCAAAAAAATATTTAAAAACAAAATAACAAGTAAAATTAAAAAAAAAATATTATAATAGTAAGAAACAAATAAGAGTGGACAATGTATAATTGTGGTCATTTTATATATAGGAATGTTGCGATGCGGTATTTAACCCTCGTAGGTTCAGCGGTTGTCGTAGTAATTATATCATCTATCTTCATGGATCTTTCAAAAGGAAACTTGACATACAGAGCATGGATACCATTCGATTATTCAACCCCAATTGCATTTACTTTCGTATATACTAACCAAATGATAGGCATGTCATGTTCTGGTTTAGTAAACGTCGCTTGCGAGAGTCTGGTTTGCGGATTTTTGCTGCACATATGTTGTCAATTCGAGATACTGGAATATCGATTGAAAAATATCAATCAGAATCAAAATATTTTGCGCGAATGTATTAATCATCACAATTATATAGTTAAGTTAGTTTCTTTGAATAATTTTCTTTTTCTTGAATTTTAAATATAAAATATTATCTCTTTTATAATAATTTTTTTATATCCTTTCATTAAAATAATAAAAACTTTTATTGGCTAATAAATATATGTAAAATACCACAGATTCAGAGAATTTTGACTTGAAATTTTATGATATAGAAATATTTTGCATTTGTTTTAATAATTGATCATTAAGTACATTTAATGACGTAAACTCGACACAGATAATAAATAATTGAAATAGATACTTAGAATAATGGATTTAAAATCTTCATCTAATCGCAGATATGCGCACACGATAAATGACAAGTTCGCGAAAATAATTGCTGTTCAATTCGCGGTGAGCATGATGGTGGTGTGTTCAAATTTATATCGAATGGCTATGGCAACAGAGTACATGAAAATTGTTCCATTGATGATGTATACAGGCTGCATGTTGGCACAGATTTTCATTTATTGTTGGTTTGGAAATGAAGTCAAGTTAAAAGTATATATTTGATTTAAAACAAATTAATTTTATCATTAAACTTAAATAAGATATAAGATAAATTAATAACGAGAGGAGTCATTAAGAAAAGAAACTAAAACAAATACATGATATTCTTTTCTCGTAATTTGCAATATTTTCATGTTTTTATTTATAGAGCCTTCAGTTGGCGAATAGTGTTTATAATATAAATTGGCTGGAACTTAGCAGTAGCAGCAAGAAGAGTCTACTAATAATTATGAAACGTTCGACATTTCCCATCGAATTTAGTAGCGCGTATATTATCACGATGAATCTTGAATCGTTCGTAGCCGTCAGTATCAATAAATTAAAATTAAAATTATTGCTGACTGCAAATGTTTCGAATATTTATAAATACATCTATAATTTTTTACAGTTACTTAAGATGTCTTATTCGTCTTTCAACTTGCTGCATCAAACACAAGAACAATAACGTGTTTATTAAATAGAAAGTAATGTTTTTTATTTTTATTTTTGGTTTTTTATAAAATCATATTAGAAACGCAGAACTATGTTAATAAATAATATTGATGCTAATCGTTTTATTAAAAACAAATAAAATTTTTTATGACATTTTTTATAAAAATTTACTTAAAACTGCAATGTGCACAAAACATATTAGTAAATTTATAAATATATTAATTTATGAATAAAATTGTGAATTTAAACATAATATTGTAGAAAAAATTCATATTAATAGTAAAAATAAATAGAATTGTCGCATATATTTCTGTAGCATATATTTCTTTTCTTTTCATATAATTTTTTCACATCATTATCATGAAATGCTTTAATAATTATTTCGATAATTGAAGCAATTATGGGATTAGATGTTGCAGTAGATAAGAATAACATTATGCATAATTTATATCAAATTTACTTGCCACAGATTTATTTTTCATTAATTCATGACAATTTTTATTCAATATTATTTCACTAAACATATCCAAAATAACGTACAAAAAGCTAAACGCAAACATTTTTTTAATATTACATTATTTCGGTAGTCTCTTGAGGTATTCTATAGATTCATTTAAATTTTAATCCTAATATAAGTAACTTAATCAATAGTCTTTGTAAACTTCTTTCACGTTGAAAGATAAACGCACTGTCAGATGCATGCACACATAAATACACACATTACGTTTAAACAAATACTGAGCATCGTAATAAAAAAGATGAGCGTTAATTAATGAGCTATAAAATACCAGCTCATTATAATTTATATATTTATCGTACTTATCGTATTTTAATGAGATATGATCATTACAATATTATTATCTATTTATTATTAATCATTAATAATAAATACACTTATTCTTTTATAAAATTGCAACTGTTACTAGAACATTTACTAGAATAGATTTTTTAGCTTGTCGAAAAATTTTTTTCTGCTCATATCTTTGTGAAGATTACATTGTTTTTTCCTTTTCATATATCAAAATGTATTTAAAAAATAATGTTTTGTATGTCTCAATGATTTTGTCTGTTAATAAATTAGTATAAAATAAAATTTATTAATATGTAATAGTTCACATTTTTTTTGTACATTTGTATAGCTGATCACAATAGTGATCATACGGAAGATGTCAATGGATCACAATGAAAATGGAAGCATTTTGATCATTATATTTACAAACGTCATCGTTCCTCCAGGTTCGATTTGTAGATCGGTCTACTGTTGAATTTATTGTTCATAGAAACGGTATTGGTCCTGACTTGCGTGTACTTTGGCCTTTTATATCGTGTGCTCCAGTGAAGATAGCTATACCATCCCGCCACCAAGACGCCTAATCCGTTACAAGTACATGAGAAGATGAGGAGGATTGTCAGAATACTTTCTACTTCGGGACAATTAAGGTCGATGTATCTAATAAAATATGCACATTGTTATTTTAAAAGCATTTTTACATAACATCTTTACATAAATTATATAGTTATTACTAAACTTGTATTATATTTATGTAATATATAATAGATTTCCGATAAAAGGAAAAAATCGAAATGCTTTTTATAAAAATTGTTTTCAAAAATATAAGATATATGTATGTATATTTCAATTTCTATGATTTCTTTAGATGCTTCAGAAAATGTAATTCTATCAATCTATGTCCAATTTTTTGGCATACCTGATTATACCTTCGAGTGAATCAAGCGATTCGCCACGTGGTCTGCATACGCACGTAGCATTTAATACTCGTGCCGGAGTGCATTCCAGTCCCATAAGACGTGACAAGTGTATTGCAGAGAATATGCACGCGCTCACACATGCAACAGTTGCCAGAACCGCCAAAAATACGCTAACTACCTGTTCATCATGAAGAAACGTGATATAAGCGTGATAGAAAAAGAGTGTGATTTTTGTAAGTAATATACAATAATTATTTTGGAAATAATCAAAATAAAATTAATAAATCAAATAAAATCTAAATAAAATTGATACTTTTCCACAATTAAACTTTTTTTAATTAATTAAAATAGAATCATTACCTATTATTGTAAAACAACATATAATAATAATGTATGCTTAAATATCTTGTACTGCTTTAACAATGTAAAAAATTAGACGAGCTGAATAAGTGACTCGGTCTTGAAAGTGTTTCTAAGAAATCTCTACAATGAATCAGAATTTTTATTTACCTTCGTAGCAGAAAGACAAAATCCAGAAGTCAAAGTCGGATATTCCTTTTTAAAACAGCACAACAAGCAAATTCCAAAACTCCCGGACATCAAGAGCTGGAAATATCGAAATAAAAAATATTAAACAATTAAACGAAAAGAAAATATTATATTATAACTTACAAAATGTTAATGCACGGCATACTTACGCGTTTAAAGTTACACATATCCCATGTTAAACTTCTTATTGAAATATTGTATTTCGAAAAGTATAATGGATATTAAAAAATATTTTATACAAAAATTGATTTAAAGGGGATTGAATAACCTTTATGTAATCTTAAAAAATAAATTTCAAAGAAAATTGATTTGTTAAGATTACTTGAAGGTCATTTTTTTTAATAAAATGAAAAGTTTTTTTTATCTAATATGATATTCCATTAATTATTCTGCATATAAAAGTATTAGGGTAAATAACGAAAACTTAATACAGTTTATGAGATATTTTATTTTTTATTTTAACATATTTTAATATGAAATATGAAGTATCTCATAAAATATTAATCTTTTGGTAATAATCATACCTTGTTTGCACAGAATAAATAAATTGATGTAAAAAACATACATAAAATGCATAATATTTTTGTTTTTACAAGATATTTTGATGCGAAGGTTAAAATGGGATACCTGTATAATTTTATTTCATATTAATAATAATGTATAAATATAAAATTAAAAATGTTGTAAGAAAGCAAAATATTTTTGTTATTAAGAAGATTACTTTTATTGCATACTTACCTTTAGTTAATTAAGGATTAAGCTTTTTAATAATATTAAGTTTTATAAAAAAATCTGAAGGCGTATATTCAAGACCGTTAAAACCGATACAGCAAATAAATAACGATTAGTTCCAACAAACAATCACTTTGACTTAAAACTAGATTAGATACATACAATTATAATATATAAAAAAACAATCTGTGTTGTTAAAAAGCATGATTATATCGTTTTATAATACATATGTAAGTCTAATTGCAGCCATATGTTAGTGTGCCTATTCTAGCAGACTCAGCTTGTTAGATAAGCGAGGATTACCATTTTGTATTCTTGCATTATCATGGTATGGAATGCAAATTTAATCGCCGTATAAAATTATTGCACTTACGGGCATGCCACTCCAATACGGATTGTCCATAACAGGCAGGTGCGGTGCCCAAAGCAACAACCATAATGACAAAGAAATCACTGCGACGCCGAGAATAGTCTGCAATGCCGCCAGACATCGAGCTAATCGTCGATGGTAGATCAAAGGAGGTAAAAACTTCTCTGGGCCTAAAAATATAAACCTACTTTTTACTCTCATACTACCGTTATCGTTTCGTAATATCGCGTATCAATACATAATTATCGCTGGAAATCTATTACAAATTTATTTAGAACTTATTTTGTGGATGATTACATTATTCGTACACGTATTGTAAGTTAACATATTACGCATCAACTTATTTATTTTTAAAAATATGAAATAATATCAAATAATATTAGAAAATAAAAAAGTTAGATCATTTTTGAAAGTGATTAGGTAAATTCGAACACAAAGGAAGTAAATTATCTTCATCATTATCATCTTTTATCACGATTCCTTTCTTAATTGCCGTGGGATTATTCCCCGGAGGAAAAGTCGATAATTTCGTCACGCAATTCATCACATTGCGTCCGTTAGAAACGTTTACTCGCGCAGATCTCTTAAGTTAGAGAGTTGAGACATGCAGTCGATCGCCTATTAGGTAATTAGGTAATTCGACGTTGCGAAGATAGGCATATGCCATTTTATCTTTCGCTACGACATACATTTCCCCATATAATACAAACTGCCGATCATTGACCGATATCTCATGGTATCGAGAAATTTAAATCTGAGAAAGAAAGGAGAATTTCCAACAAGGTGGCCTCGTCACCATCCCTCCTTACAAGGTATCTCAACCGGTTGATGAATGATTGAACGTCCTTGCCATATCGAAGAAATCGCCAGGAAACTCGCCTACTACCATCATTTACACTGCAAGATCGAGTATTTCCCACTGGAATATTGAATAGAAAATGCGAGCGATCGCCTACCACCATAGCATTTTGCAGGTATGCAAATAGCAGTTCCTTATCAAGTTTCGTAAATATCTTAAATATCTTTATTTATAAGAAAAACTACATTATTATAAAAATATAGTACTACTAAATAACGTATGCTACATTTGTCGATTTAAATTTTTTTAAGTATTAAAAAAAATTCTCTATATGTGTATGTATATAAATATTTTTTATTTTAGACATATCGAACGGGGACTAACTTGAAAACTAATTCTATGTATGTATGTATATATATATAAAATTACAAGATAAAAATATGTTACGATTATAAAATAAGTAATGTCTTTTTGCAGAACTTCATGTATGCAAGATATTTAAGAAATACACATATAATTAGAAATAATTAAAAATTGCATTAATGTAGCATTGAGTTAATGTCTGATACGATAACATCTAATTTTTTCATCGCCATATATAATTAGATTATAAGTTACTCGAACTTATAATCTTTCTTTCTCTTCAAATAAAAAATTCATTGTAATGTAAAAAAATCTAGAATTAGTTATTCTAGATTAGTTATTCAAAAATTACAAATGAACGTTGCAAGAATCGATTCAAAATGAGTTTCTCTACTAGACACTATAAAATTTTCCGTTTAATAATAATAAAAGCGGATTTCCTCGTGAATGATAGATCAATATTTATAGATAGCAATAGAAACAACGATTACCGCAGTGTATTTATACTATTGAGAACAGATTATAAAACACTAGTGTGAGGAAGAAGTAAGTACTTTGACCGCCATTGAAAAACCGCAAGAGTGAAGGGACAGATGCACTATGTTTACTGGATATGCTGTGCTGAATACTCGATTGAGGAAGTATAGTATGCAAACTTGTACCGCAGATATAAATCAATTAATATATTCAAAGTTAAGCAAACAAATTAGACAAAATTAATTAGAAAATTAGAAAAAAATGAAAAAAGAAAAAAAAACAAGAAATTTCTCAACCATTGACTATAAATTCAAGAAAAGAAGTACATCATTAATTCTGATTTTTCTTATTGTTTATTATTCTGTTTAATAGTTTAGAATTAAATGTAAGATTAGATAATAGAATACAAATAAATGTTACATATTTATGTAAACCTCTTCAATTTTAATGTATGTATAATGTGGTAACTTCATAATCGTGTATGTGGAAACTCATATACGTACCTGAGATAATTATTCTCTAGCCTAAGTCAGTGTTTCTCAACTGTTTTGGTGTCACGGCATACTTTAAACTCAGAAAAATAATAGCAAGGAAGAACCTAGATGATATATCTAATAGATATGTAAATCTTATTCTTCTACGTTTAAAAAAATAGACTTCAAGATAAAGACTCTTAGAAGATAAAAATTGCTTGTCATATTTTATAATGTACTTGTTTAAAAAAGTTTTCATGTTTAAAAAAGTTTTTAAGATAAGATTGTCAAGAAATAGAAATTGTTCATGTTTAATATATTTAGCAACATTAATCGATTGTTATACCGACTAATTTATTCTGACAATATTTAAAAACGTCTTTTTCTCTACGCGATATTGTAACAATTTATGATATATTGACATATTTCATTATTGAAGATTTGAATTTATTTTATTTTTATTTTTTTTACTATTTGCTGTTACAACATAAGTTATTCTTATAGTTCTTAAAAATTATGAACAATATATGTAAGACTAAAGAAATCTTAATCTATAGGAAATTGAAATCATTTAAAGAGACAAACTAGCGTCATTTCATCATTGTTTAATTAAAATAAAATTCTTATTATCAAGGTAACTCAAACTTGTTTACACTATTGCCTGACATTTTTTAATACTGTTATTAAAGCATAAATCAGTCAATATAGCGATCAATGTTGTTAGAGATATTGAATAAAATCAATTTTTATCTCTTAAAAATTCTATCCTAAAATCAGTATTCTTAAACATAGAGCAATTTTTACACTATTAATTTTTACGCAGAGATTAATCATGGATGCATTTTACGTCGCGCGCGTGTAAAAGAGAAATTCTTTTGCAGCGCAATACGCATGCAGAATTTTAATATCTCACGACATCGTCGCTCGATGGCAATTCGTGGAAGATACGATACGCTCACTACGGAAGAGAAAAACAATTTTCACACACGGAAACGTAATGCGCGCATCTGCTATGTGAGGATTATGTCTCTAACTGTACCGCAGGTACGCGCTATAACTGGCGAACGAGACAAACTGCAACTGCAGAATATAAACGTCCGCACGTTATAGAAAGGTAAATCGATAAAAATAAAAAGCGAACATAATCTTGATTTTTACGCGTAATTATCTTGAGATAACGTAAAATTGCAGACTGTTCCTTCTATAAAAAAAACAGTGTTGGATCTTTTCGATGTGATCGGACGACTACTGCAGTTGTCAAGTAGCAGATATTGCTGCTCTTTTCAGAAGCGATTCGCACGGTGCGGGAATGTAGGACATGAATACGCGTTGTTCGTATTGTATTGCTTCGCCATATGTACGCCGTATTTATTGCACAATACGAGGATATATCGGTGTGGGATAAAGGAAGAAAGAGCCCTATCAAGAGATCAAACGACGACATAACCAACGAAATGAATCACGTACGCACTTATCATCTTTAATTTAATATTCATTTGTCAATGATATATCGTTAGTATGATACTAATACTCAGCAGCTCAGAAATTTATATACTTACTTGACATGTGACCCAAGATAACAATAGATAAACATTGTGAAAATAATTGCCAAATTTAGAAGTTAAAAGCATGCTACGTTCATTATCAAAATTACGGAAGTTGAAAATTAGACTCGTCCGGTGCAATTACTAAAGTCAAAAAAGAAATTTAAAGCCGATATTATTTAACAATGACTCGTATACTGCAACCCATTCACCGTGTAAATTCCAAACTACCTGTAATTTGTCTTCGTTCACATCAGGTATCGGTCACGTCGACTACGTAAATGGGCCAGTTTATGTGAATGTGAACGTGAATGCACATTATACGTATGAGATAACAATGAGCAACGTCGGTCCTCGTTTTATACGTCGCGTCGTCACGGCCGGCAAATTTGCCGCAAAATGTACGGCCCACGTATAACATACGCATACTGGGTGGTACGTTTTCATCATCCGTTGTCCCCAATGCATGAATAATGCTCACGATGTAACTTGCGTAAGAAGGCATGACCGCAGGTTAATTAAGTAATTGCACTATAATTTTGCTAACTAACGCGGTTGTAAGATGTTGCAATTTACTTCTAGATCGATATTCAACAAATATTTTCTGTCACGTTGCCATAAGCAAGAAATTTATAATATAAACATTTTGTATATAAATAATTTTTACGTCGTAAAAATTACATTTTAATTGATTAATATTTGTTGTATATATATATATATATAAGCGCTGCGTATTATTTGTTCGCTCATAAGTGCATATGTTTGAAACTCATTTAATGTAACGTGGAAAATAGGATTGTTTGACTACTGGCTGGGTGTTTTTAAATGAAAGCTAAACGAGGATTACACATATAAGGGTGCCGAAATTGGGCGTAAGAATAGGGTCGGTTTGTAAGTCTGCCGATCCTGAAATAGAATTAGGGCTACGTATATGCTAAGCCTTTGAACAGACCATGATACGTACACACTTCATCAATTTCGACCCTTCGTACCTCACATGTGTTGCTTATTTTCAAAAAGGTACGGAAATGATACTTATCGTTTACGTAATCATTTTTTGCTTTAATTAATATTTTAATATTAATTATAAGATCAAATAATATTACTATAGAGATTAACAGTTTATATAGGTATGAATGTTTATAGATATTTATTGCTGATCTTCAGAATTTTTAAATAACGAAGATTTATAATTCTATTCGATATAATGTTTTCTAATAAGAAAGTTTAGCTGCTCAAAATATATTTCCTGTGAAATAATTTTCGTTTATTACAATCAAGAAATAGTTATGATTTTGCAAGTATAATGGAATTATACTATGATAATTAATTGCAGTGTGTACAAAGCGAGATGAATATTAAAAAGTACAATGAATTTTTGCACCAAGATGAGACTACGTATTCCGAATACGTACCAAAAAGATCACGCGATATATTTCCGGTCTGATACTTCCGCTATCTGCGGAGAACCATGTGCATCTACTTTAAGTTCTGTGACCAGCGGAGCAAGAAACGTTTAAAACTCACGTCAGTGAAATACATATACGCGAGAGTAATTGAAGAAAACAAGAATTTTTTTTCTAAATGAACGGTAGACGAGTAGTTAACAGAATTTATTGTATAATAAAATCCGATATTCCGTTCTTCGACCGAATTCTTCAAATAAATTGCATTTTTTTTCAAACAAAAACTGCATAATATATTACAACACTTGCAACAAAATAATTCTCTAGACACATACACGCGCGCGCGCGAAAAAAAGATTTTAGGTAAAATAATTTTACAATTTTAATAAAAAATATCGGATAAATTATAAAAACAATGATAATTGAATTTCAGCATTTTAAATCAGTTGTGATAAAAATAGAATTTTTAATGAAATTTTAGTGAATTTTAATAGAATCTTTAAAATCTTATTAATGTTATAATATTCTTTTTACAGAATATATATTATATATATTTTTTATACATTAAATATCTTTAATTAAATCTTTTATATATTAAATATTCTTTAAATATATTTCTCATTTAGTTACACAGGTATGAATGTCCCAATTTTATGTCCCAATTTTATTTTATCTTCTTTAAAATAAACTCCCATTCTTCCGCACATTGCATTTTCATCACCTTTAACTCCTTTCATTAGCTACCATTTGCTTCATGCATTTGATTCTATCTAAGACAATGGTGATAAAAAGCCGCTGCACTTTCCTGCAATCCATGGCGGCGCTAATTATAATCTTCCTGTCTGCCTTGGCATCAACCTCAATCCTGCTAAGCGACAGGTCGGCGGCTAAGAGCGATAGTCGCGTTCGTTAGCGTACATAGAATTATATGGCAACACCATAATATGTCGCATAAAGCAACGAGATTATTAAACGAAATCGAGAAAATCAAATTATACCGGGCCGGTCGCATTCCGCGGAAAAGCGATTCACGAGCGCGCGATCTTACCTTCGAGAGAAATCGATCAGACATAGCCGTCGATTGCAAAAAATTAATAATCGTACACACACGATTTCATCAGATCGATCAAGGAAAGCGCAGAGAAGCCACTGCTTCTCATCGGCATTTTGCCGATTGCATGCATTCTCGGATATTATATGTATATTTCGAAACGTTCTCTTAGATTCTTAAATTCTTGTAACTTTTTCGTCATCGCAATGCGTACTTATAATATAATAACGAACGATAGAATTATCGCATTCTACTATTTAAGACACACAAAATGACATGGCTAGGTACAATCGCTTGTTACACAATACGAGGCGTGCAGGATATATAATTACTTTTTTAAAAGAATGTTTCAAAAAATCGACTGTTCAAGTCTGTAAGACGAGAAGTAGAAATATAAATTTAAAGAATTTAAATAATTTTATCATGCCTATCGTTAACATTATGATTAGAAAGATACAAAGCTCAGGTAAGAAGTGATTGTGTACTCACGATGACCGGTCCGATGCATTACGATCATTCTGCTGTGCCTCAAAGAATTTCTCGTGGGCGTGTGTCGACCGGCTATTTGAGAAGCTGCCAGATTGACAGGAACTGTGGTTGATAAACAGTTAGCCATCGATGGTGCCCGACCAAGTTCTTTCTCTTTGTCTCCGCGGCAAATGCGCCCGATATTCCCAGTTGAAACTGCACCTGTCATGTACGGTGAGTACTTAGTAAAAAAAATTACTTTGCCCACGTGCCAGTAACCTTTCTCGCATCTTTCTTATTCCAACGTTTCAGAAACATTCAATGTAAGAAGGAAGATATTTTGCAAGAAAATGAATCAGTTCTTACACATAGCAATTATGTATGATGTCATAAAACTCGACTTTGCTTTCACATTTCAGAAATCCGGGATTACTTAATTATTATTTACACACGCGAATGTTAGGTTTCTTTTATTCTTCAGAAAATTATAATATAATGGTAAAAAGTTTAAATTATATCGATCGATTTGAAAATTTTTGTATATATTTTTTTATTTTATTATAAAAATTATCATATTCAATATTATACTATTATATTTTTTTAATTTATCATCATTAAAAAACCATGTAAAAATTAATGCAATTATCCACATGCCGTCTGCTCCAAAATGCCACTTTCATGATATACGTCATTTTATTAGTACGCACAATCTTGGCACGCGCGAATATAGTTGTCGCGAAAAACAAGAGCTGCGGTACATACGAGAATTCAGGACGATAAGATTTCGTGCACTGGTAATATCTGAAGTAGAACAAACAGGTCAAGCTGGCACGAAAGATTAACACACGGTATATATAGACAAACAGTGTCAATTTAATCTCAGTTATTGCTGATTTCCATTTTCATAAATTTTATTATTTCAAGATTTTAAAAATCAAGCTTATATTATAATATCGTTTTAATGAAACTAAACCAATAGCTAATTTCTGTGAATTTTATATACATTTTTCCAGTTCTACAAAATTAAATTTTGTATGGTGTTTTAAAAAAGCTCATTAACATAAATTTGTCAAATTCAATCAATTTAATTTATGATATTACTATTCCAATTTCAATGCAAGATTGCGTTTAAAGATTGACACTAATCAGCGCATTTCGCACACAGAATTGGAAAATGTTATAAAATTTACAGAAATATATTATTAGACTAAAATCCAGTTCTGATTGTATAAAATACTTTTCTATTTATTTGTATTAATTCATATTATTATTTCTCTTTATTGTTTTAAATTAATTTACGAAAAGGCTTCCGTAAAATGTAAGCGGAAAGCGCTGAATCTACGCGACATTTACGAATGCAGGAACCGTATATCGATCATCGCGCGTTTATATAAACTACAAACAGTAGACATTTCATGCACACATGTAAAAGACGCATCGTAAAAAGTTCATTCAACCCACCCGTGACTTTGGCAATGTGAATCTTCGATACGTTGCCTGCGCTGACGGCGCTATTGACCCTGTTGTTGTTATTATTATTGCTGCCATTAATACTGTTATTATTGTTGCTTTGAGATACGGCAGACGTATCATCATGAACTTGATTCAAATTACCCACACTCATCGTGGAAGTGACACAAGGCGGCATCATCGGCACGTCCTGCAAGGTCGAAAAAACGATCGCATTAATTTTGACAGATTCTTGCCACTTTAAGAAAAGACTGAGTTATATACTTTTAAATAATACAATGTAATCGAGAAAAATAGTAATGCGATATTTAAAATTATTATGTATGAGATTTTTTAAATTGATTAGCAAATGTCATGTATTGCGACTCTTCTTTTTTCTTAAATTTAGAATAAGAATTATTAGTGTAATGGTAGGTTTAAATATATATTAAAATTTAGTTATAGAAATACTTTCAAATTTGCATCACAGTTAAATGTTAACTATAGATAAAAATTAAATTAAAAACTTTCTTACTAAACGCTTAATTTTTAGATATAAAAGAGCCATTTCCTGCCTCTGTAAGTGCTATATTGTACGGAACAAATGCTTAGCATCGATGTTAGAATGTAAATTTATGATGATTTGCGCACAACGAGCATATTTAGATAATTAATATCGGTTACAATTAAGGTTCTAATTATGTTAATGTAAAACGTTATGGTTGTGAAATTCAGGAATTTTTAAGCGCGTTTTTCTTAGACACTTCCTAGATGCTTCCTAGATGTTTTATAACAGATTATTTCAAATGATATAAAAAGCAATAGATATCTGTTAGTCTTATTTATATTGACTATTTCTCTTTGGAGAACTTTGGTACTCGTTAAGTAATTAACCGTAAATACAACAGTTTACGGACTATAATCTTTTGTGTATCTTTGCTCTGGTGAGATATTACAGCTGCGGAATGATACTATTGATAGCTTCATATAGAGATTATTTTATATTTATACTTTACGTAATATTAGAATATCTAGTAAAACTATGTACAAATATTTTATTTCAGATTCAATCCTTTTAAAATTTAATTAAAAGTCATACTCTCTTATCATCTTTGTATTTTTGATACTACTTAATGTTCATAAACTTTAAAAGATTAAATCAGTACTGTGTTAAAATAAAATCCATTACGTACTTTCACTCGCGTTTATAATTTTAAAATCTATTGATGCTCTGAAATTTTTGTTAAATTAAAAATCTATAACCAATTGCTTGCAGAATGAAAATAGCGATTTTGTGATATCTTGTGCATTCTTATTTCCCATTTATGCAAGGATACCCGTATATGAATGTCCGCTAATTTAAAAGAGCGAAAGTCATCGAATCGATAATTAATACTAGCGATCATGTAGCACTGGCGGCATGCGAAGCTTACTTTCAATAACACATGTGAAACAGAAACACGTGAAGACTCACCTTGTAATTATCATAAAAGCTCACCGGCCGACTCCTCGGCGCATACTGAATCTCTTCGTCAGTCTGCATCGCGCGTATGCTGTGTGACAATATTGCTAAGGGATGCGCGCGCAACTCGTAGGACGTCCTCCGTAGGTCACTCTCCCTTCTTCCTCCACTTCCGGCGGATCTGCAAAAGGTGAGCATGACACTTAATGAGACTATGGTTAAAAGTAGTAAATTAGCGCAGTAATGCGCAGGTGCATGGTAATCTCTTGTGCATACAAAGAATTGTAAATAATAATTTTTCGCACTAAATAGGAAATAAATACTAAATCGGCATAGCATGAAAATATTGTGTTACTTGAACTTTTTCTATTATTAATTTATTATTGATTATATTAAATACGACTCTTTATTTAGTTTTTAATATTATTTTGTGCTTTTCTAATTCTCTTGAATTAAAGAAGACTCTGTGAGTATGGAACGTTTTTTATTTTATTGTAACTATTCTCGACTTTTAAGGCATAAATTATCGTTGAATTTATTGTAACATTATTTTTGTTATACTTGTTTTTTGGCCATCGATCTTATGTATTGATTAATTATCTCTTTAGTATAAAATTTTTTTAATAAATGATATTATTAAATATATAATAATTAATTTTTTATAATGATAATTATTATGATTGATGATTCTTATCTAATATTTAATATTAATTTATCTAATTTTGTGATTTAAGCAACGGAAATAAATTTCCAAATTATAAAACATTTATTTATTATTATACTCATTTATCTATTATTAATTTATATTTGAATGTTTTTGCCAGTCAAAAGAATGATTCGTAATAAATATTATTTCCTTGTACGCATACGAATTTTTTGTTTCTCTTCCACAAAAGCATATTTGAATTCAATATTCTTCATATCGGATGTGGTTGATGACTCACAAATTGTCAAGCAATTTTGGAAGGGAACTTTCTCTTAATCCGATCCGACACGTCATAAGTCACGCTCTGACATTGCGAGGGATGTGCTTGTGCATAAAACAGAGATGATAAGGCATCTGAGACGAAATAGAGGGTCTACAATTTTCTTGATGTTCGCATTCACGTGCCTGATCACGTGCGTCGCGCATCCGTCACTCCATAAATGTCCGCAAAATTGGAAAAGATTGCCTGCGTGAAAGTAGCTTTGATCGTTTATTTGGACAGATCGTTTATCTGAAGAATAACTGAACTTTACTTTGAAAATATTTGCTTTCATACGCGTTGAAATAAATAATTCTAGATAAGTCTAGATAAATCTAGATAAATGAATAATAAAATTTGCTTTGAAGGCAATCAAGTTACATAATTCTACATACTTATATCAAATAAATTTGATTTTTGATATTATTAATTTATGAAATGTATAATTGTTATTTAACGAAAATAAAAATGAATTATCTTACATTCGTTATTATATTTAGTGATAAATACAATAAGTTAATAAAATAGTTCATATTTTCAAAGCTCTCGTGAATGAGAAAACATGACTCATACAGTTTCCTTTTCCCTATTCAATTACCAGCGTAATTACTATCTTCCGATGACATAAAAACAGAACAGTAGCACAACAAGTATAAAATAAAATGAGGAAAAACCCACGAGACTCAAGCATCATTTTGTAAATAAGTCTCCCAGGCGTTATACTCGATGGCGCAGATTCTCGATTTTACGGAGGTCGCTTTACCTTCCTGAGCTATCCAATGAGCTATCTCGCTGTTCGCAAAAAAGGAACAATATTTTTTCTGGGAACGACGCAAATTATGTTAAGACGCGGACTCGGCGTTATGGTTTTCTCGGTCTTATGAGACCTTTAAGTGCTGATGAAACTTTGATTCCAACTTGGTCACATAATTTCCCAAGCCATTAACGCGAATAACTTCATGTCCGCTTAATGTTTCCTGAAGTGTACTGCTTGAACTTATCTTTCGAAAAATGTAGAAAAAGTCAAGAATCGTAAGAGTGTTCTCAAATTTTTTGACAAGTAAAAAATGACAAACAAAAATTATTTTAGAGATTGCCTTACGTTTATTTTTTGCGAAATTTGAAGCTTCAAATAATACTTAATATTTTTTATTTATCTAATTAAGCATGTACTAAAAAAAAAAAAGATCTTAATTATGAATTATAATAAAGCATATATTTCAAAAAGTAAGAATGTAAAAAGTGAACATGTTAACATAATAAAGTAATCTTTTTTCTTGAAGATGTTAGATGTAAATAGTAAAATACATGTTAATTTGAATTTTCATAATTTATTTTTATCCAGCATAAAGTCATATTTTTTACTTAAAATCTTTTATTTGATTTCTTATAGAATCATGAAAAAATAAAAAATTTCTTTTTGTACCAAATGCTTTCATGAATCTGCATTTCTATAGATTACGGAAAACTTCTAACATTTTCCGTTGATGAGCAAATAAAAATATAAAGCTATGAGGCACTTAAATCTCTCATAAAAAACTTTTTGTATTCCAACGTACGACACGTTGGAACGCAGCAATTCGTCGACACTTGATTACGGCTATGTCTGTTCTAAGTCCACTCAACACATTTTCTTACAATTATATGTGAAGCGTCTTTGAGGAAGTAGCAAAAGTAATGCTCAATAAAAGTATTCAAGTTTCATTTCCGCAATTTCAACATAAAAATGACCAGTAATCATTGAAAGTTTAGTGTCCTGACGTTATGCATCTTTGTTATGTAGTTAGAGAAAAAAGTTAATTACTTCCTGTATTAAGTTAATTATCCTTACCGTTGCAAATTTGTACGAAGATGTATATAAATGTAGGTAAGCGAAGTAATTCGACGCATCGCGCGCGCCAGTACGTTTTTTGGTGCTACTCTCGGTACTTGTCGAGTCAGCTGAAGCTTATAGTGCAAGATTAATTTATTTAAGTTCTTTGTACGTCTGTAGATATTACTTTATGCTTACGATCAGAGAAAAATCATATAAAACGAATACAATTTAAGATTATAGATTTAAAAAATATATAGAAATTAAGTATATTAATTAATTATTACCTATCTATTTATCATTTACTATTACTGTAGAAAATCATTGATACATTTTAATTATATTGTAAATTATAAAATTTAATAAAAATGATCAACATTTTTTAAAGAAAAAGCCTTCTAAAACACATTAATTGTAAAGACGAAATAATAAAAAGAAAAAATTAGATTGAAGAACAAAAGGCTAGTGTGAGCATCGCCTAAGGGAGCTTAATAGAGAAATGACTTATTTCCAGCCATGTAATCCGAACACACATATAAGTTAGTCGTAGATAGGTCATATTATTGTACTAGGACCTATAGAATCTCTCAAGTTACTAGTGATTATCGTCAGCATTTCCATTATCAATCTATTGCTGCTGTGAGAATTCTATTGATGATACGAAAAATTGACGTTGATGTACGGTTATTAATAGCGATCATGCAAAGGCTCAGTAACCTCCGCGGCTTTATTGCCTTGTGTATATTGCGCAATGACGTATTAACTTGGGATCTTACGCTATGAAAGTAAAATCCTATGCTCTCGAGTCTCATGACAAATATGACCATGACGTCGTGCTTCAATGATTAAAAAAAAAAGAAAGAAAAAATCTTGATCACGTAATCGCCTGCTGTCGCGTATCGAATGTCACTTGCTTATTGTCTGCTGTATGCAAAGATGTGTATAAAAATATAATCATTATAATGACATATTTAAAAGATCGTGTTAAAAATGATGTAAATAATAATGATGTGATTAAATGACAATACAAATCTTTACAAGATAACAATTTGAAATTAAAATAAAGATACCTACTTAAAAAAAAAACAAAGTACACATAGTTTACTTTTTTATTAGCTCAATTATCATTTTTAAGTATTTACATTAATATGTAATCTATTCATAGTTCCATTAATTATAAAACAAAAGTATCTTTTATTATTTCATAAAATTATCTTTTATTATGTTTTTATTGTATCACGTAAAGTCATATAAATTAATCACTTTTTGGCGCTTCGGGCTTTAAAAGTATTCAATGTCTCATGAGTCCTATATATAAAGTAGGTATGTAGGCTTCTGACGTAATGATACAGCGATAGCATACGATTACTGCAAACGCGATAGTTTCTCATGATTCGCAAGAAAAACGATTAGGCTAGATCAGACAATCTAGCAAAAAGGACTCTTCATATGCGTGAGAATAATAATCAATAATTGTCACGGAAACGACAATCATTAAAGCGATAAAATATTATGTCAATTTTTCATTCTGAAGAACAGTATTCTTCGTATACATACGTACGTACTCTAAAAATGTATAATAGAACTATTATATTTTGAATGTTATTATTATATAACAGCTTATATTATCTTGTGACATTTGCTCATCATTAATCTTGTTTTCGAAAACAGAAAATCAAAATAATTAGTACGTTCATCAATACAAACTGATATTTACATACACTATATGTGTTTATTTGAAAAATAATATATATGTTTCTTCCATTTTTGAAAAATAAGAAATAAATATTCAACATAAATTTTTGCAATTTGTAATACATTTTTATAATTTTATAAAAAAAAAGAGTCAACAATTTTTATGCAAAAAAAAAAATTAGCATATTTAATTCAGACTTATTTAGATATGTATACTTTTATACTATAAAGATATGTATATTTTTATACTTACTACTATAAAGATATGTATACTTTCATTTATTTGTACTTTTCTTTATCTTTTCTTCTTGTTACTTTATCTAATAAATGACTAAAATATTTCCTTTTATTGTTTTTTTTTGTTTTTTTATAATTAGACAACAAATGCGTCAATAAATCACAGGAAGTATGTGACTTTGAAATCATCCGCCTTGAGTATTACTTACTAATTTACATTTATATGCAAATATATTCATAACTCACATTAATACGACATTGTATTTGTCGAAATATTTTATGTGTTAACAACACGCAGTGCCCAGAATCATATTCCATCATGATAAAATTGATTAGAAGCTATTTGAAATATAATCTTGTTGTATCCGACAGGATTAAATTAGTAAGATAAAATCGAAATAATAAGTTCAAATTTTTGTCTGTATTGCAATTTTTTATGTTTCTCTTTATATTTTGACGAAAAGATTAAACAGCTTTTATAAAAGCTTTTTTAAATAAAAATTAAATAGCTATTATAAATATAGCTCACAAAATATAGATCAAAAAAAATTAAATTAAGATAATGTTTCTCGTTCTTTTTATTTCTTTAAAAAAAATTATTTTATTACATTAGAAATTAAAAAATATATAAATGTTTTTTATATAAAAATGTTATGTATAATAACTTAATGCTTAGCAAAGTGGAGTAAACTTAGCAAATCCTGTTAGCAACATTTTTAAATGGAAGAGAAACTACGTGCATTGCTCGAGTCTATGTTAATGCACATAAAATTGTTAACAATTATAACTGTAATTATTAGACACGAGAAAGTAGCAGTCACACATTCTATCACGCTCGATTTTCATCTATTAAGCAACCGTGCGTCTCGAGTTCATTTTAACCATTCATATAATTAACGTGCGAACAAGCCAGTCAATAATTTATAATTCAAATGTAGAACGACTGCGTCTAGTAACCCAAATAGCGCATAACTTTCCTATCTCTACACAAAACTCGTAAATCTATTTTGTTTTTGATATATGCTGCACAATATTGGAATTCTGTATGTACGCATATTATTTATAAATTATTTACACGATATATGTAATTTCTTTTTTTAACACAGTAGATAAACTCTTGACGTCGAATATTTATTTTATTTATGATCTATTTAAAAAAATAATTTGTAACATGTTATGAGAAAAAATGTGTGTTATATTAAGAAATTAAAATAAATTTTTTTTATTGTAATGATTGATTTTCATTGCTTGAAATATGTATATTGTATATATATATATATATTATGTAACTATATAATAAATTTGCAAAAAAATCATTATTATTATTGTTATCATTATTATTATTGTTTTGATACATATTCTATAATAATATAATAACTAACTTAAGTATAGTATCTTCTATATATCAATAATTAGTACTTAAAATAACTAATTTTTATTTAAAAATGCGAGCAATATGTAACACGTGGCATATAATAAAAAAATATTCCTTTCTAATCAGTTTTAAATAAATGTATCTCTTATTAAGTATATTTATTAGAATGAGATGTTAAAAATATATATGAGAATAAATATTTAAAAAAAAAAACATATTTAAGAAAACTTAAATGTCTTATCTCTGAATATATACGTATATTAATAATAAAATGCCCAGCTTGAATTAATAATTGTGCAGAAATAATCATAATTAAAAATATGATATCGCAAAAATTTTTTTTATGTTAAAGCTAAAGAAAATGTCTTTTCAGTCTCATAAACGATACATTTGGTTATCATACTATCACATTGAGAATGTAATTATATATCTGTTTTATTATATACTTTTATTATATATTTCACTAAATTTTGCCAATTTGTTTATTGTTGAACATAAATTTGTATGGCAAATTTTAGTAAACTCGATTTTAATCAAATTTAGTTCGTTTATATTGCAAGATTTTTTTTAGTTAGACGTGGCCCACTCCAATAAAAGAGAATTGATATGTTGTAATCATATTTTATGTATGGCACGTAATCATGTTTACGAACAAAAATGTCACATATATGTATTATACATTAATTATTCAAAAAAGTATCAAATGTATCAAAACATTCGAAATTGATTAAGAATCAATAAAAATAAAATAAGATTTTTTAAAATCCTTTTCAAATTTAAGTTAAAAATATATAGCAATTATTAAAATATATTTTTTTATATAAGTATATTTTAACAATTGTGTCTTTGTGTATAAATATTTTCTTTCTTTAATAATGTGTTACAGTTCAATCGCATATTTTTTACATAATGTTAATTTTTTTATCCCAATAGATCCATAACATTAAGAAATAAAGTATCGCAATCATAATACCATAATCATTATGATAACATGCAGCGTGACATTTGTTTTCATTATGTTATCGCTATTTTTGAGATTCTATCATATTCCGTCCAAAAATATTTAGTTTTAAGATATAAAACAACATCATCAAGAAAGAATAACTTACGATAAATTTTAATAAAAGTAGCACTTACGATAGCATTTTAATAAAAGTAACATTGATTCAAAATAGTATTAATTAATAATAATGCACAAAGTAAGAGTAATCTCTAAGTTTGGAATATACAAATACACTCATAATTATTATTTAAATAATTAAAATTATATTAAAATAACTCTCTCAATTTTTCCTAGATAATATTTTACCTAGATAATTCAGAAAAAAAATTAAAATTTCTTTAATGTAAAATATTTTTAAATCACAAACGCTTTATGTTTGTCAACTTTTTATTTACTTTCGAAGAATGTTTTATATCAATTTTATATAATAATTACAATAAAAATATTATAACCTTTAACTTTATTTTAAAAAAAATTCAAGAAAATCTTGAAAGACTCACATGAAAGAATTTAAAAAAATTAAATTAAATTTCTACAAAATTTATCGTTGCGTAAAGATTAAAATTGACTAGTGACGTACATGTGCACCGATCGCTCCCGAACAAAAGTGGTACCACATGAGACCGAAATTAGATTTAGACTGATGCAGTTTTGATTCCAAGATATGTTCTTCCTATTTTCTCACTGATAATAAAACACGTTCTGACTAGATACGAATATTCTCGCGAGTCAAATCCATATCACTACTATAACAATAACGTTCTCTAGTGCAACCAGTAGGTTGAACGAGAAACGTAACACACAATGCGACTTCACCGATGTCGCGATGACAACTGAAAGCCCGCGTATATAATGCACTGAGGCAAGGCTGAAGAGGCCCCACCAAAGTATTTTCAACTCGAAGTCGGGAACACCAGGTGTGTCAGAGCGCGTCAAACTGGGGGATCCTACTGGCAGGTGAGAATAACCATCTGATCTCTGGTTCAGGATGATCATTCGACCGGCAAGGGAAGTCGGTGTTCCGAATCCGTTTGCATTTCTCGAACAAATATGTATTTATTGTAAAAACGAAAAAATAGAATTCGCTAATAATTATATGAATACATTTATATGTATCTATAAAACTGTGTCTACATAAAAAAAGATAGGAAAATTTACTTTAACTAATCAAATAACTTGTTCATTTCAGATAAATATAAATAATATTTTTTACATTCAAATATTATGAGTGCTTTATAAATTATATAAATAGTATTTACAATTCTCTTGACATTTAGAATCTTTTTTTAATCAATTTAAATTAAAAAATTATTTTTAAATGTTAGTATTTAAAATTCTTAATTATTAGCTCTCCCTTTGTCATCAAAAAATATATATGTATACTTAAGTTCTTTTTTTTTATAGAAATGATGAGTGAGCATGCGAAACATTAAAATTTTTATGGGTTTGAATGGCTTTCAATAAATAATATATTTAAATGTATTCAGCATGTATTAATTATTTATCAATCCAATATTAATAAAAATTCTTTTTTAGAACTGAGCACCACTGTTGATACTTTCACGTCACTGAACGATTCAGGTCTGATGAAAGAACTAATGGAAAGTAATAAAAGGGTCAAGAAGAAGGGGATCTATCCACTGATTCCTGTCTACCTTGAGCGGATGTTCGTCATTCTATTTTGCCCATTTTCAAATATTTGTTACTCTGCTGATATTCGATTTTACATTTGTTCTTCTTATTGATATCGATTGTGACACAATAATGACAATAATGATTATAAGATGTTCTTCAAACATATTCTAAACCTTTCTATTCAATCTAGAATTGACTCTTCAATGGCGGATGGTTAAAAAAAATCTTATTTTATTTTTGACAAATCATCCATATATAAACAAATGCAAAGTACATTTTATTCTCTTTCAATTAAAACATTCATTAGTCATAACAGGATTACATTATAATTATTAGCTAATTATATTTAGATTAAAATATTATTTTTCATTTAAAATTAAAATCAAATATTTAAAATAAAAAAAAGCGTTTGTATATATAAATACTTTTTCATTAAAAAAAATTTATTTAGTATTATATAAATCCAATGAATCATGTCTACTCAATTCTTTTTTACAAAATTACTACAGAAGAATTTTTTTCTCTTCGTTTTTCCTCATTGCGTTGAATGAGTAATACATGACACGATAGGTTTCGTCGAAAGATACTTACATCGTGCGGTTTTTCCGACATTGTATTTCGCAATAAGAGGTCACCGACAAGAGCGAGAATCTTTTTCGCGCAACTCATTAGCATAGTAAATTAGTAACTGCAGTTCAACGAGCCGTCTGGCAATCCGAGAGACGGCACAACTAATACTCACGGGCAAAAGAGGAATCCTTTATTTTATATACAGATGATCATTATTTGAGAGTTAAAAATTAGTCCCTAGCGCATTCTAAACAGGTCTCATTTAAAAGAGGACTTCACAGCTTTTCTTTGAGTCAATAGAAAATCCGCATTGAACGAAATCTCTTTACGAGAGGATTATTTCGTGATTAACTCCATCATGGATAATTTAAATCAAATATTCGCAAAATATTACAAAAAATTCACATATATGCGTATCTATATGAAAGTAATTATTAATAAACCTTTTCATTTATATCTAAAAATAGAATTAAATATTAGAAGTTTCTTATTATGATAAATCGACTTTTCAAATCCTTAAAAATCGTTAAAAATTTCTTGTTTAAAGATTTATTTTTGATTTAATGACTTGGCTTGATCGGAGAACAAATTGAATTCTTAGAGAAAAACCCGGGAAACATGTCTTTGTGTTCCACATACCAAGTCTTTCGGTATTGGCTCTTCGAAGGGAAAACATGGATTCATCGCGAATACCTGAGGACAAAATCAGTCCCTTGAATTCATCTAAGAAAAAGACGCACGTATAAAAACCGTGACGGACTCAGTAATAGTAAAATCCTATTTCGATCAATGACTACCGCATATGATCCTTTTTTAACACTGACGCTGATATGATACCATACCTGCAAGGCGAGACTTCGGATCATCTCATTAATTAACCTATTCGACATCGATTCCATTGTCATTTCTCACTGGGAAGTAATGGTAACTGTAGTTAAACTGTAAATATTGCTTATATTGTTATTCTTGTATATTTTTATACAATAACAAACTATCAAATTTGATATAATTTGTTACAATTTCTTAATCATATTTAATATATTTTTATTAAATTCTCTTTTATTGAAATACATAAGTTCTAACTAATATTTTTGAAACTTCCTCTAAACAGTATACACTAAACTCTCAATTCAAAAGCGATTTCAGTTATAACACGCAAATAAGGTAATTAATGATTATTATTTATGTATATATAATATAATTGACTGCTTTAAAACTATACTACCGTGTGTTTTTAATAATAGATAATTAACAATTGTTTTTTTAGAGGATGCATATTTTACTACATTTTCATCTCAAGATCTCTATACTATGTTATTTAGTTCAGTGGACGATAATTTTATATGCTAATAAGAAACAAAAGATATTAATTGATACATTACTTTGTAAAAAATACAAAATTATTATCAGCATATTAATTAATTCGCTATGTAAATTCGAAATTTTTATTTATAAATAATTTATTGTATTTTTAAAAAGATAATGAGCTTTCTATTTGTTAGATATTATAAAATTTCATAAATTAATTTTGTTAAGATATGAAAAAGTACGATAATAAAATTAAAATAAAAAATAATTAAATTGGTTTGAAATAATTTTGGTAACATTTAAAAGATTATAATAATTTAATATAGTAAAAAAATAGATAATTAATAATTGAAAGAACTTCAAAGAAATTATATACAGTCTTAATTCATTACTTATATAATTTTTGTTATATATGTTCTTTTTCATTTGGAGAACCACGTTTATATATTCTAAATCATATGGATTTCATGATACTCGTCTGTAAAGTGGCGTAAAAGAATAAATTAATATAATCAGTGATATTTTAGGAATAATTAGAAAACTAACAAGATTTTATATCTAGTGACAAAGATAAATATTCAGTTGGCAGTATTGTGTAGTATTGTGATGAGTGGTCTACAATTTGTGGAATACGTATGAGTGTATACAAACGTATAGGACGTGAAAAAAATTAATGAAAATGTGTGGTCGAATTTGTTGGTAAATAGTTTTATCATTATTTTATTATTAATTATTGCATGACATACATAATAAATGAACAAATCAATATATCGTTGCAACTTTTTCATGGTTACCTTGTAACTATATAAATGTGCTTTATTTATATAGTTTATAATAAAACTAAATGTTGAAATTCACACTGTATCTTATTCACTGATCATGTAATAATGTCAAAACTTTCTAATTTATATAAATATTTCACAAAATATATTTGTAATTTATTGTAGCTCATTGGATCCTGAAACTTTGTGTTGTGCATGCGGATATAAGGATGCCAATGGTAAACAACGTAAATTGACATGGACTAAAACTGAATTAAAATATGATCCATCGTATAATATGTGTCCAAGAGACATCCTGCCTTGTATAGCATCTGGTTCACATTTTGAAGGAGAAAAAGAGGAAAGAGTTCTTTGTGCCATGACATGGGGGATGATTCCACCTTGGTATCAGGCGAGTTACAATATAAATTTATAGATATGATTTATAGATATTTATAGAATAACATTTATTTGCAATCTTGTTATTTTACATTTAAGTGTGATTAAAATTAATCAATTTTTATAAAATATATTATATATGGATGTTTAAGTTAATTTATATAAATTATTTGATCAATTTTCCAGGGAGATTATAAGAAACGTCCAAATAAGATAGCCACTCACAATAGTCGTTTGGAAAACATACATTCCTCAACGGTATATTCTCCATCATTGCAAAAACAACAAAGATGTATCGTGATCTGTGAAGGCTTCTACGAATGGAAGCCTGGTACAGATAGCAAAGTTCAAAAACAACCATACTATATATATGCAACTCAAAATAAAGAAATAAAAGCAGATGATCCTACAACATGGGGTAATGAATTTTCTGAGACAGATGGATGGAAAGGTTTCAATATATTAAAACTGGCTGGGATATTTGGAGTACATAAAACTGAAGAGGTATTATATATTCTGTTTTTTTCTATCTTATTCCTACAACGATTTCCTATCTTATTCCTTTTATCAGAAATATTCAAGATACTATTTAGTTATTATATCTTAGGGGAACATTATACATAGCTGCTCCGTTATTACAAGAGACAGTAACAAAGTATTGTCTTGGCTACATCACCGTATGCCAGTATATCTAAGCAACGAGGAAGAATGTCAAGTAAGTGCTTACATAATATTATGTATAATTTGTATAAGAAAAAGAATGTAGAATTTGTATAAGAAAAATACAAGTTTATTATTATCTTATGTAATTTTTTTCTAGGTATGGTTAAGTAAACATTTATCGACAGATGCGGCAATTAAAATGTTAAATGACATGATATTACAAGAAACTGCACTAACCTGGCATCCGGTATCTGTGATTGTCAATAATGGACTCAATAAAACTATTGATTGTAGAAAAAAGATAAAACCAAAGTAAGTAGAAACTTATAAAGCTAAAAGTAAACACTTTATTGCTTCGTAAAACCATATATTATAAAAATGTGTATATTGTTTATCGTTATCTGTATTATGACATAAAATTAAGTAAATTATTAATTTATTATTATTATATAGGGAGATTGGTCAAGCATCTTTTATGACTTCTTGGCTGCAGAAAGGATCAGCAATTTCAAATAAAAGAAAAAGCATAGATGACACAAACAACAAAGAGGACAAAAATATTTCAAAAATTCGGAAAGAAAATTAAAATTTGTGAGAAACTGTTGATTAAATATTTATATAACAATTTATTTTTCTTTCAATATCTAAGATTTACTGTAAGCAGTATATTTTATGAAGTTTGTATATATTATTATTAATTTAACTAATTACATTTAATATTTTAAATTGATTTAATATATTATTATAGAAACTCAGGAAACAAACTACTTCTTTAAAGAATTATATTACATCATATATTTTTTTAAGAATTGTATTTCGAAAATAAAATAACGTTTTTAGTAAAATACTCCATGTATAAAACTGTATTCACATAATGTTTTAACAAATAGATTCCGTCAATAGAATACTTTATCCTTTCACTTATTGTTAGATATATGAGGATATAGGATTTGCTAAGTTTTCCGTTTTTATAAATACTGAGCTATCTAGAATCTACTATTATTTTCTTCTAATTTTATTTATATTAATTCATATCAATAATTTTATCCATATTAATAACATAATAATGTAAATTGTTAATACTTACATGGTTAATCAAGTCTCAAAATTATACAAAAAGTGATGGAAGATGAATAATCATGGCATTGAGGAGTGAAATCATCGTTCAATCGGTCCAAGTCGCATGTATGACTTGAAGTGAATCACCTTCTGAAAAAATGTAGACAAATCACTCTAACAAAAAAAGAATAAATGTAAAAATTAACATAATAAAAATGCACAACAATGTAAAAAAGAATGAAAAATTCCCAGTAATAGGTCTATTTGCGTTGCTTAAAATTCCCAAAAATTTTTGTATCTAAAATGAGATAAATATATACTTTGGCGTTGAAAAGAGAGAGCAAAGATACTGAATGCAAAAAGTGCAAGCAATGCGAACAGAGCTTGGATTCTTGAAAAATATCGCATATGAAAATGTACGGAAATACTATAGTATACATTATGTATATTATAGATTTTCCTAGTTTTTCGTATGAAATACACTTTTTAAGAATCAGGCCCAGGATTTATTGTGTAATTCTTCAGTACAAAGAATAAATTAATGCCTATTAATTCAGAGTCGCCCTTATATTTAAGACTTCCTTAAATTTATCTTCAGATGCTCTACGAATTATTTTATTGAGTACTAAAAATAAAAAAAAATTTAAGAAAGCCTTAAATATAAGGCCTGATTATGAATACGGGTATAAATACCTTACATTATATCATAAAATATCAACGATTCGAATACCACGATTCAAATGCTTCGTCTTCAGAGCGACCATTTTAAACGAGTTAAGTGCCATCTGTAGTTCACTGTATGTCTTCAAACTAGGGACAGTCGGTTGGCAGCGTTTCGTGCACAGTTTCATGCCTTGCCGCCGGCGCCGCTGCCGCCATTTACGCCGCGAGTTGGCGCACTGCACAGTCATGCGCAATGTGCGCGCCTTGCCGCAACAGACTTTACAGACCATAGGTTACGTGCGTAAGTGCGTGCCTTTTGTAGAACCGCTGCGCGCGACTCTTCGCCGTCGTCTTTCCGTGTTCTTCCTATGATTCGACAGTAAAAGCCGCTATTCGTTAATGAGACAAAATCGACATATGACACATTAATTCCTGGTGACTGGCAGTTAAGTGGCAGAAAAGCGAGACTCGAGATCGTCTGTTGTGTACGCGTGCGAGCCAACTTCCTTGCGAGTGCGTGCGTGCGTTCTTGGCGTGCGTCGTACGTGTGTGTTTCATATTTCTGCGTCCTGCTAGGTCCAAAAAAGCGGCGAGCTAACGCCAGGATGACCAGCGGCGAGGAGACTGACAGGAATGTGATGAATGTCGAAACCGTGTACCATGAGGTCAACTCCAGGAACGGTTGGGCGTCTTTCTATCAGGTAAGATGAGAGAGGAAGAACGAAGGTGAAGGAAGGAAGAAGGAAGGAAAGAAAAAGTAACGGAAGGGGCGCGGGCGAGGAAGAAATAGCTCGCTCTTCCTCTCGGCGATGGCTTTTCCGCTTGCTGTTTCCGCGTTTTTAAAATCCGTTGATGCCGTCCCGGCTGTCACGTCTTTTGCCGGCTACTTCTCGTCGCCACGCGACTTCTCTTTCCGTCTTCTGTTCATGGTCTCTTTCATCCCGCGTTATCGCTCTTTCAGAATCTCTTTTTTGCAGCCACCGTTTTCGCATTACGATGAAATACTCCCGCGTGCCGCGTATCACGTCTGTCATGGTCTGTCAAAAATGTCAAATTCGGCTGAAAAATTGAACGTCGTCTTAGATTCCGGCACGCTTCGTCATTGAGATTCATGGGTTCGAACCATTAGATTTTTTATTGACTTTATTTATATACGAACATGATAACGTCTGATGATAGCGGGACGCAAATGTCGCGGAAACGTATAAATATATTCTTTTTTTCTAAATAGATCCGATTCGGATTTGCGAATTGTCTCGCGACTACAAAGCGACTTTTGTCGTGCGACAAGGATATGTTTCTTTATGTCTACGGTCGATAGTAGTTCATGATATTCCGTGCTTCAACACAGACAATAGACAATAATACCGTTCGATGTCGACACGCGGATTCGCTGAACGTGATATGGCTTCCGCGTTATTGCTGATGCTATCGAAGATTTGAGCGCCAAGAGCAACATGAGTCCACATTGGATTTACGGCTCTAATCGATTTAAACTGCCGAAGGAAAGTGATTTCGCGATAGCCGAGAATCAAGACAATGTTTGCATGACGATGTTATGACATGCGAGTGTACTCAAGGTCAGACTTCCAACTTGGAAATACATATTTAGCGATCGCATAATTTCTCCGAAGCGCAACACGAGTAACTTGACTACGATACGCTTGAACGCTTAGAATTTTTCTGATAAGATTATATTCTTGTTAATTGAGATTTCTTTACGCTACCTACTATGAATAAATTTTATTTTATGTATATAATTTTTATCTATGTATATGGATGTAATTTTATCAAGACCTTGTCTTTTATACAATTATTGTTAATCTAATATAGAATATGCAGTAAAAAGCTAAAATTTCTTGAAACTTGTTGCACAAATTCAAATATTTTATATAATTCATATTTCTCAGTAATTTGATTTTCTATTTAGAAATCTTCAACCAAATGTTTGTTACAAATTTCTATATCAGACTTGATTTGTAATTACATTATGGAGTTATACTATAAGATTATGTGATTGTGTAACAATACAATTAATGATTAAACATAGAGAGAGAAGGAGGGGGAAGAGGAGAGAAGTTCAACAAGAGATTTATTTAACTATTTTAATTTATATTTATTTATTGTTAGTATATACTTATTAATAAAAAAAAGTGTTTCTTTGTATACTTACAATTCGTTAATGATTTACTTTATATTTTACAGAGCATACGTAGCGAATGTGAAACTTTTGAATATACATGCAATGAATCAAAAAAACCACAGAACAAAACTCTGAATCGCTACAGGGATGTGGCACCATATGATCACACTAGGATTATACTCAAAAGAGGTGTATGTGATTACATTCATGCCAATCTTATACGGGTAAATATATTACATAAGAAATAATGTCCATATATAAGCGATTGATAATGGTAAAGTAAATATATTACATGATTTGTACATTAGGTGGATCATGCTGAAAGGCAATATATCCTAACGCAAGGACCTTTGCCAAATACTATCAGTCATTTTTGGTTAATGGTATGGGAGCAAAATAGTAGAGCTGTATTGATGTTAAACAAGATAATCGAGAAGAACCAAATCAAATGTCATCAATATTTTCCATTGGACGATGTAAAATCTACTTTAACGTTCGAAGATGTCAGTATAAAAGTGGATTATATCAGCAAGAAAGAATCGTCAGATTATACTACAAGAACGTTACGGTAAAAGAATATGTGTATATTATTAACTGTATATTTTTCTCAAGATTTGCTTTATAATTAATAATCACATTCTTAATATTTTTACAAATATTATGATATATTCAATGTTTTTAACTTATCTACAGTATAACGGATTTGGAAAGTAACGATAGTAGAGAAGTCTTACATTTTCATTATACCACTTGGCCAGACTTTGGAGTACCACAACGTCCAACGGCCTTCTTACGTTTCTTGGCAGACGTGAGGAAATCAGGAGCGTTAGATCAAAATGTTGGCCCACCCGTTGTTCATTGTTCTGCAGGAATAGGAAGATCAGGAACATTTTGTTTGGTTGATGCATGTCTAGTACTGGTACGTGAAATGCAGCAAACGATTTACAGGAAACTGTTTTGGCAATCGTTAACCAAGTGTTATTTAATTGTAGATTGAAAAATACGGTTTAAATGCTCTAAATGTACGACATGAATTGCTGGAAATGAGACGGTCTCGTATGGGTCTCATACAAACACCCGAACAACTTTGTTTTTCATATGCTGCCATCATTCAAGGAGCAAAACAATTGCCACTCGAAAACATGGTAAGTAAAAAATTAAAGTTGCTATTGTTTATCGAGTAGATTATAATAACAATTAATATAGTCTTTTTTTTAATTTTCGATATTTTTTACTGATATTTTAATAGACAGAATATTTCTTTTTGCAGACAACAAATTATTTTGATAGTAGCAAATTATTAATAAAATTTAATCATCTACTCACTGTATCTTATAACATGCTTTACAGGATATGAACAACGAAACAACTCATGATGAAACAATAACGACTTATGACGAAATGAATAATAAGAGTAACCATCCATTAGAAAGAGACGACGGACCTCCTCCTCTACCACCTCCTAGAGGAGAGTCTTTAACTCGTAGTATGATGGCAGATCTAAGTCCGGATAGTTCGACTGATAATGGTATTTCTTTATTTCTTGTTAAAACAAAATGATCTTTATATTATAACAAGCAGCATTAATATTAAAGAATATCAATTACAGATGAAGTAAGTGGACCACCTGATAAACCTTTGCCAAGTGAACCACCGAATCATGTAGAATTGTCAGATACAAACCTATCTACATCTATTTCAAATTATGTATGCGAACAAAATGCGGACGATGGCGAAGATCTTTCCAATGACGCTAAGAACTCTATTCTAACAAACAATTCTCCGTCCAATTCAGAGTGAGTAACGTCTCTTAGTAAACAAAACGCGAATTATTTAATGTTTATCTTAATGATTATGAATTTTGTTCTCTTGAAATAGGAAAGGGGAACTACGTCGGCGCAAAACGGAAAAAAATGAACGACTAGCTACGCAAATACGCGAGATGAAACGTCGACGGAAGGAGATGGAAGAATGGCAGAAATTCAAGAGGTCATTATTTAACCCTCTTAAAATAAGCTTAGGCATTGGGATCGGTGGGGGTATCATAGCAATCTGTTACTACCTGTACATGCGTAGTTAGATCTGTCGCATTTAAGGATATCATACGTACGTATATACACGCATCACTTTTCGAACTATCGATAACATTTCGATGACTTGCAATCATAGAAAGTGTTACTCTTAACATAAGATTCTGTTGCAAAGTTTTAATAATCTTGGCTAAAATCTTCGAGAGAGTAACTAAACAAAGGATTTTGTATCATACGATCGGCAGTAAAGTCACATCAGCAATACCGCAAACGATATTGTCTCCGTTATCGAAAGAACAAGTATAAATGAGTAAAAGAAATAATAAACAATGCTAGAAAGATAGTACATTCTTGAACTGCATTGTTATATATTCGAGTAAAAATGAGAATGGATACGGATGAAGGAGAAAAAAAGATGGACTTTTGATTTGTATTTTTATATTGTGATTTATTTTATGGATATCTAGAATGTTAGAATATATATGTTCATTTCTTTTATTACACTTTTGCTATCAAGAAAAAATAGTTTATTCCGTACATATGCTTGTTATTATGAAGTAAATTTTATCACACAATTCTTATAGATAAAATGTAACCTACAAAGAATTGTGTTAACACTTTGACTGTCATTAGGGCGGGGGGGTGGGGGGAGGTTCATTAAATCCGACCTCGGACGCTACGTAGTTAGCGCATAGATCGATTAGTCAAGTATGATCATTCTCGTAGTAGGCATCCAGCGATAGACTGCCAAATACGAGTTATCTAGATCCGTTAACGTGTTAACACCCAAATAAGTTACTATTGTAGGTAAAATATTTACTCAAGAACTAGTTACGCAATACTATATCATGATATAATCATATAACTTTATAAATATGATTTGCGTGAATTTTGATCATTCAATCATTTTATTGACTTAGAATTGATAATACGCTCGTATAATGATACACGTAAACACATAGAGAAAATCATGGATATATAAAGCTGAATTAAATGAAAAAACATTTTCATCATTTTAAGTAATTCTGACTTTATCATTTCCTATAAATAGAACATTTTTTAGTTAAATTCGATCTTTTCCTTCTTTTATGATGTAATTAATATGATGATAAATAAGCAAAAAAAAAGGAGACATTATATTTCTGTGATTTTCGACTAATGACATTTCGAAACGAATTAAACTTGATGTTAATATTTTACCAAAATCATTTTAGCTTTGAAAAAGCTAGGATGAAAGACTTATTTCCAAATCACCTTCATAATTTATAATTTAAATTCATATTTTCAAATCATACGGTTTATGTATAAAGATTATGCGTACGATGATTTGGAATGCCAATGTTTCGTGAATTTTGCAGTCCACTTCATCAGGGCGAGAAGCAGCCTGATACCCGCGAAACGCATAATCTTTATATAGAAAGCATCCATGGAATAAATACAGTTTATGTATTACAAAAGCCTCAAGAATAAATACAGTTTATGTATTACAAAATTGGAGAAGCTTATAAACTCATGATCTTAATTTTTTTAAATGAAAATATGGATTCAATGATCTGGAAATAATCTATTCAATTTCTTTAGTAGCGTTAAATGGGTATATTAGTGATAGACGTAGAAAGAACTTGTTAAACAATTTTATTATAGTTCCATAGATAAATGTTTTTAATTGTTGATTGGGGTAGATTCTACTATCTTATATCAAAGTCATTTGTGAAAATTTAGACTGCGTATATATATATATATATATATTAACTTCACAAAAGAATTTAACAATATTTTCTATTTATCATGATAATTTTGCTCATTTTTTATTATTTGGCTATGAATAAGACAAACTTTTTTCTTATTTGCAATCTTTGTCTTTTTCTTTTTTGTTACAATAGACTATTACATTATGCAAATCGCCATTTAGGATGATAATATTTGATTTAACTGATAAACTCATGCATTTTGTTGTCATTCATAAATTCGATTAATTTGAACGAAGATAGATTGTAGAATCAATTATTTTACTCTACAGTATAAGACATTCCTGATGCACAGATATTAGCTCCAAATTTCTTACGCTTAAAAATGAAATTATTTTAGATGCTATTATGTAAAAAGATTGAACTCACTATGTTTATGAAGAGAATTTTTGCTGACAAATTATTTTTACCTTCTTTCTGTTATTAAATACTTTACAAAAAGAATGTTGCGAATTTTTAGTTTGATATGGAAATTCTTGAATAGTAAAAAGAAGAATACAGAAATCTGCTATAAGTAAAGTGTTATTTCTAAAAGTTACTGGTGATCTCCGCGACATTTTTTCACTTTTAATTTTTCTTTAAATTGAATCCTATTTGTGCATTTATCTCAATATCCTTATTAAACTTCGAAAATTTAGTAATAAAGTTGTATCGCGTTAGAGAGGAGCTGGAAAGGATTTACAAACGAAATCTTAGAAAATGTGAATTCCAGTTTATTGCTCAACAGCGTATGTTGCAAACTATGCATTGAGCATTGTGGACAAAGACTGAGTACGTCTATAATGACTTCTAGGACAAAAGGAGGAGGAAGTAAATGAACGATAAAATAACGAAAGTTAAGCCGGCGTATTTCTTAAGTCGAGCTTTTATATAAGCTACTTTGAGAGAAAGACTTGTCAGATCGTGTTCCAATCCAAAGATGAAGCGTGATGAGAATATGTGCGTCGCAACGTTTTGAAAAGATGCGCGTTACTAAAGTATTTTTTACTTTTGTACGTTAACTATCGTTGGAGCACGATCTTCCAACAAAGTTTTTAGGCATGTCGCACTTGCGCATATCGACGTGCTCATCTTCGCGTAATTATGTAGAACGATAGAACGTTGCAAAAGAAATTGAATGGAGAACAAAAAGGAAGCGAGCATAACTCTACGCGGAACACGATGTCGAGGGGATATGCAGTATTCTATTGTCAACAACACGTTTTAACTTTACGCACTAATATACTATTGTTATCTAATTTTTATCAAGATATTTATGTAAGTATATAAAACCGTAACTGCGACGATTCGATTAAACGGAAACGACGCAATTAATCTCGTGATGATCGTGTCATTGGCGAAAGGCATCATAGTGTGGAGATCTCTCGATCGTTCCATGCGCCTTGGAATTGAACTGAAAACATGTTGAATTTCGAGGACGACACAGTTTGCGCAATTAAAAAAAAGTCGCAATTATCTATTAACCGTTTTACACATGAAAGAATCGGGATGAACGATCGTAGACGCTCATCTCTCTCCTGTTGTTGATGATCGCGCGAAGCTTCCGGAAATGGGACATACATTCTTGAAAGTCCACAGGTCACGAAAACACGGTGCTAATTAAAAGAGTTCCAAAACCGATGTGCGCTTCGAAGTGCGTGCGTTCGTGCGTGCATGCGTGGATCTGAAATGAGAAACGCGTGTATGAGAGAGTGAATGCGATGGAACAATGGGAGCAGTCACCGATGTTGATCGTGCAACTTGCTCATTGAAGCATTATTCAAGAAAATGCAAGCATGGTTTTGCATTGACACTAAAAATTGATTTCTCTGATACAATTTTAAAATAGCATTTCTGATTTTTATCGTTTTGATTTTTCTTTTGTCTATTATATTAGATGTGACAATCTATTATTATTTTCACACATATAATTATAAATTTTTGAAAAAGTATCTATGGACTTCACATTCAGCATCGGACAAGGCACGAAAAAAACAGATCCAGCGATACAGTCTTTTATACTATTCGTATGCATACAATAGATATAATATTATACAAACAAAAACACAGAAACATAGCTAAGTGCCTACTCGTACAAACAAGGGGAGGGAAGGGAAAACCACAGCGATCGGTGAATAGTGTAATGATAGCGACTTCTCCCCTTTTTGGAAGAGCATAGTCACCGTGAAAGCGAGTCATTTTTATTACCCGACAATATATAAGTAGATAATTATCTAGTAAATCTAAGGCTGATTTAGTCGAAATGGTACTTTCGAAGGTGCTCCTATTATATTGAAGTAATCGTAAAAAATATCACTTTTCTCTTTATCAATTTTATTTTCTTGTATGCACAACATTTTTGTGAATAACATATTTTTTGGTAATTAAGAACGTAGTTTTTTTAATAAAATTGTCTTCTAATTATAAAAATTGGCAAGATATTTCTAGAACGGAACAATTGTAATGAGAATGCAGGTCTTTGTAGACTATAATTTTCTTGTCATGTTATATTCTATAATATTGTTTAAAATAAAAGATCCTTTGTTTATAAAGAAAGGCCATTTCGAATCGATCAATCTATCATAATCTCCGGATTGCCGAGCGATCATGCATCAGGGTACCGACGAAATGTGAGCGATAATCGAGCTTATTCTCGGATAGAAAAATCGATTTTATATCATTAACTACGCGCAATTGATCTTGCGCAAGGAAATTTTGACAGCCGCAGGAACTTATGTCTTCAATTTAAAGCAATATTCATGAATCATTGTGACGATATCGAATGTTTATGATTCGATCGATACGCTTGGCAGCCGGATTAATAATAAGAATCGAGTATACCCATTAGGCAGATGTAAGAATGGAGACAGAGGAAATTGACGATCCTTGATTCTTAGAAGCGCATCAGCTAGAGCATACATTTTATAAATCATGATGTTGTTTAATCTACATAATGCATTCTTTATACGACGGGGCCTTTTTACAATTACGATTATCAATCGTTGATTATCGACGCGAAAAAACATGGATTAATCTCAATACAAAAAATAGGTAATTGTCAGCGTGCTTCTGAAAGGATTAAGACAAAAGTATGTGAAGGTAGAGAAAGCTGTACGCTTGTCCGATTAATCGACCGTCAATTGAGCATTTTATAACAATTGTTTTCATAATTTTTAGTTATATTAAAAATTATATAGATAGAAGACGGCGGAATTGCAAGAAGAATTTGTAAAATTTGCTAATGGAATCAAAAATTCAAAAGGCCACACTTTAAAATAATTATAGAAGAACACAATTTCTTTTGACGCTATTTTTATTATATTTAGATATATTAAAAATATTTAAAAAAATTTAAAGAACATTTTTAAAAACGGTCGATTAATCGCACAGCGTCGGTAAGGGTAATATCTCTCCCTAACCCATTCTGCATCCTGCACAACTCGAAGTAGTTATTTACAATGTATCGTTGTAGAGCTATAGTGTCGAATGGTATTTTAATGTATAGAAAACTGAATGCACAGTAAAAGAAGGGAAACGGAAATTGGAAACATGTGTGAAAGAAAGAATTGAGTAAAAAAAGAAAAAGAGAATAGGAGTGAAGAGAGGAACGAAGCGAGAAATTGTTTCAATTTGCTGCATAAACTATAAACAAAATTTTACAAATTATTTGAAATTTTATTAAGCACTATATTTTTTATAAATATGGTCTCATCAATTTCTTGAACAGTACAATATACCTATATTTTTTTCTAGGAATATTCTTTTGTTTATAGAAAGTCTGTTCTCTAATATTTATTCGTTACGAATGAGTGTTATTTAGCATGTTCTAATTGGATATTAGATTAGATATTATCTATTCAACAAATAGTTAATTGGATTTTAACAATGAGCAACGTTAAATCGCTATAGTCGTTCCTCTTCTTCATCGAAATTTCATTTACACAAATTACACTGGATAGGCACTGGATGATACATAAAGATTTGCATACAATAAAATTATTTATACAGAAGTAACGAAACGGCAAGATCAATGCTCTCGCAAATATGCACATACATCAAGCCGATTCGTTCGAAATGATTCCCTCCTGCGAGAACGCTCTTATAGTAGAGGCAGTACTTGGCAGATATTTTACACAACTGGAAGTAGCATTGTGAGAGTAGAATTTTTCACACTATAAATTTTATACATGAATTTAAGACACATATTTCTTACAATTATGTATTTTTCATCGCGAATTTATTTTCGCAAAATACATTTCTGCGGAGAGTCCGGATTCATGTACTATGGATTCAGGTAATACAGATGTTTTCTTACGAATCATTGACGCAAATGTAGTAGATCCCAGACAATCACGACAAAGGCATTTCAAATTGTTTAATCTGATATACTTTTTTTGTATATGCTCAGAAAAACATAGACTTAATTAGGATTAGCGCGTTTATTATTGTTAAATTAAGAACATTTTATTTAGTATGATTTGTTTTAATACCCATAACATTCGATGATTTATCAAAAAAATTCAGTGTCTACCAGGAGTTCCGTAAAATCTTAATAAAAATCAAAATGTTTTGGATCTGTCTGCATTTATGTTTTATTTGTAAATAACGTTCGATTTTGGTTTTTAAGTAATGTTGGAAATTGACGACTCTTGGTACGCATATTATTCTCCAATTAGATTAGTTTCTTGGCTACAATAACAGCTGTACTAATATCAATATAATTGAGTGAATATTTTGGGTGTTACTTTAAATTAGTCACGAATCTATTTTTATTATGTAAATTACTGATAAATGGTAATAGTACATCGGTTATTGATATCTTTCTCTATCTCAGAGTTGATTAGATCGTTTATTTCGAAAATTGTATAAACATAATATAAATCTTAAAATTGCAATCTTGATGACTTTGTCAATTCTTGATATTGCAGAATTTAAGTTACACTTTTTTCGAAATAAACGGCTTAATTCATAATCCTGATTCTGTCCTACCTTGCAATCTAGATTTTGAAATTCTTAAATCGTAGACCCTGACATGTCTTATACGCATATGTTCATAAGCGATGCGAATCGTATAATCTTCCTCGAATTATCACCTAGCGTAAATTATTTTACCTTCGTTTTTTGTCTCGTATTTAGTCTTTCATATCCAGGTAAAGCCCGTAGAGATCCTTATCTGATAATTTCTTTCAGATCAAAAAGCGAAACTACCGAAAGCGGCGAATCTGTGCACGAGGAAGCTGAGTCCACCATCTAAATTGAAAGAAAAAAAAACAGAAACCGTCCTTCCATAGAATAATTATCCGTTATGTGCCTTGTCACATTTTAAAGGAAATCATGCTAGACACGAGAATCTGTTTAGTATAATAAAAATACTTAATAAAGAAAAATAAATAAATCAGACTATTTGCTACACAGAAATACGATGTACATATATTCGCTTTCACGAGTTCTCGAGTCCTGGATTATATTTAAGGATGAATGACTCGCGATTTTTGTCCTTTCCTAATTTTTAGTGATTTTTAAACTGTAAAAAGTAAGAATTTTTAATTAAGAATAATGAAAATAAAAATTAAACAACAAATGCATTCATGAAATTTAATATAATTTCGTCACATTCTCCATTTGATTTACTATTAATTAATTCATATACAATAAATATAAACTTCATCACAAAATAGGATAATTGTTGAAAATGAGTAAATTAAACAAAGATTTACATCGTTATTTCATCGAGGAACCAAAATTTAACTTTTTTTAATTGCATTAACAAAAAGAGAGAACATTTTAAATGACGAATTATTATTTAATATTGATTAGAACAAGATTAAATTTTCACATGCGTTGTGATGTAACAATATATAATATGATGTTTTAAAGATAACTCTCTCTTATGTCATGCATCATATGAAGATCTAACCACTGCATCTTGGATAATGAAATATCTCGCAAGAATACGTCTTGTGTAACAAATTAAAAATAGAAGAAATTATGTGAAATTCATTTTTATTTCGATTAAACTTGGCAATAATTGATAATAAGTACGATAATAAAATATATGCGCAGTTAATTCAATATTACGATTTTAATCATAGATATAGAAGCAACCCTGTATATATACCGACTGTTTTATAATTATGTTGAATAAATTATTACTTTTTCGTTATATAAAAAAAAATATTAGTTAACAAAAATAGTTTTCTAAATTTGTTCTTAATTTTAAACTTAATAAAGTTAAAAAATACAATAATATACAATAAAAAATATAAAGAAAAATAATATAAATTTATCTAAATAAGATATACTTTATGAGTCAGGAAATATATCGTGGACACAAGCAAGATACTATAAATCTAGATAATAAAAATTCATATTTTAGAATGTACCAGCAAAACGTCAAAATGATTCTGAAGCTTTGTTTCAATAAGCGTATATTTGCGCGGTAATTTTGAGTAATCCTGAATATATGCGCGAATTGACGTACTAAATTATCAATATTTTACGCATAAATAGACAAGCATTGAGGGGGTTTCCTTGTAGCAAAGTTAACACCTTCAAGGCCAGTAAAACAAGGAGCATCGTAGTAATATACCAAGATAGATCATCGATGTATCATGTCTAGCTAATTTACCAGGTCAGTTATCACCCGTCGTAGAACGTCATTGTATAATTAGCGTGCTCTGGTTTGACGTCATTGTTTCATATAAATACTGAATGCCTGGTCCCGGCCACCATAAACTTGTGAGAGAGCTGTCTCGACGTGCTATTGTACTTTTAAATAAATACTTTGCATTGAAACGTGTTACTTCCTCTTTTGAGTAACCTAATTTTGAGTGATTATTTTTCTTGCTAAATATCAATATAATTCAATACTTTTAAGTACAGGACGGTAAGTATATAATTTTCTCAAATTTAAACAGATCATTTTCGTAAATATATGTTTATAGTTTTTGTATCTATTACAAATCTAATGTCTTTCCTATGATTATGAAAAAAATTTTTTTTCAAAAATTTTTTTATAAAAATAAAAAATGATTTAATTCATTCCAAAACTTATTTGAATTATGTATAAAAATTATTAGAAGCAAATCCGTTTTATTTTAACAAATACATTCATATATATACATATATTGGGAATATGTAAAGAACATCTACTAAGAACTTTTTAAAAATACGTATGTTTTATTTGAAATTTGAGATGTTTTTCCAGTATGAACTATTGATCCACAAATCTTTAGATATCTGTCGATGTTATGGATAAAGATACAATCCTTTTTTTTTTCTTAGATGACTGCCACATTTATTGTCTTCGCGCTGCTGTTCGTCGCCTGTTCTTACGCATCACCTCTTAGAATGATGAGCATGTTTGGTTCTCCCATACTTGTTGTGCCAGTTCTTGTTCAAGAACTAGACGATCCTCAAACTTTGATAAACAAGGAATCGGTATACGCATTAAATGACGATTTTAAAGTTCCGAATAATATCGCAACCTCCAATATTGAAAAACGCAGTGTAGAGGAAGCAAATGATGATGATCTTGAGATTGCAGCTGGTACCAATGTTCTTCGTCCTCTCTTCGTGTATCGGCAACAGGTCGCGTATCGACAACGTGCCAGGGATGCTGTCCGAGGTAGAGGTAGGCGAATATAAGCGAAAGAAGCAAAAGCCGATTTGGAGATTTCAATAATTGCAACTTATCTCATTTTGATATTAACTCATTTTGGGAGGATAATACATTTGAGATACTTGGAAACTTATAAAGCCTCAACGGGTCTAAAGATTTTTGAAGTCCTTTAAAGATCTTTAAAAAAGAATTGAAAGAAGATCGAGCAAGAAAAAATTTCATGAAATTTAAACAAAAATACGCAAACCCCAAAGAAAAATGGATAAACTACAGAGAAGCTAAGATGGTTTCGCATTAAAATGATTCGATTAAACAAAATACGAACATCTATTTTGAAAAATAATAAGCTGTGATACGAATCTTTTTTAAACAAAATTGACATTTGTAGCTTGCTAAGGTTGTATAAGATAAAGCTTGCTGCTCGCGGATATTTATAGGTGTGCCATGAGCACACAAGAACAAAAACTTAAGTTTATAAACAGCGAAGCGGAAGACTTACTGCAATATGAAAATTTCGGGCGCAAATAAAACTGTTTCGTTGTCGACGGAGCTTACCGTCGAGATAAAAAAATATGTGAAGTATAGAAAAAATACAGAGAGTCGATAACGGAAAGGAAATTTTTGTACTGAAAAACGAGTAAATTTTAAAACAGCAGCGAAGGGCATTGAACTTGTTAGTACACTTACGCTAAAAGATTGTAGACGTTATTTCGACGAAGATTAACGGTATAAATTAACGGATATGAACTAATCTTGCTGATTCAGAAAAGTTTTTCTTTTTATAACAAATGGAATAATAAGAGCAAAAAATCAAGAAAGCATTTAGCTATTTTACGATCACATACGATCTCTTATAAAAATCCTACAGATTTAAGTCGGATTAAAATTAAACATACAAGAGAGTGAGCTGATTAAAATAATAAATAAAAGAATTAGAGGAAGCGACAGTATATATTACTTTATAATTGTTAATGTAATTAGGATTTTCTTTTATAATTATAAATCAATTATTACTTAAAAATAATTAATAATTGAAAGCTATGGACCAAAGTTGCTTTACACAAGCAAATAAGTTAATAATTACTCGAATGGATACTCGAATGTACAATGAGAGTATATTTATGATATGATTTCTTTGAGAGTAAATGTTACATATGTAATGAAATAAATATGTGTATGGCATTTTATAAATAAATGTAGAATATTAATTTACAGTTTTTTTTCTTATTCTTATCATCATTCACAAATACATAACAATAAATTAATATAATAGATATATTTTTATTTTTTTAATATAATTATAATATTTAATTGTTTCTTGTAATACCAAACTTATAGATACAATATAGAAGAGAATGTTTAAAATAATAAAATATAGAATTGAGAAAAGAAATTGATAAATAATAAAAAAAAATTTATTAGGTGTTGGAATTAATTCGTAGCGTTTTTTAATGAAAGAATGTTATTTATTTCACATGAGCATTAAAAAATACATTAATGAAAGTACTTCCCATCACTTGTAAAACGCTACGAATTAATTCCAACACCTAATATTATTTAATTTCATTTTAAAAATATTGACTTTTAAAATATGAAACTTTTAAAAAAATTAAGCGCCAGCTTAATTTAATTATAAGCATCATAACTTTTATTGGCAAAAAAGTCATTCTAATTAGAAAACTTTGGAAAAATTGTTTTAGGAGTAATTTCTCTCTTCTCAAGAAACATTACAATTTAGATTTTAATTATAAGTTTATAAGATTACTTTTTTACTTTTATTATTAATACATATTTTTCTGTTTTCTCTATCAGGAATATTTGTCATTACTATTTTTTACTTACATAGATATGCAAATTTAATTTCCTTTCAATGAGAAGAAAAAGAAAAAACTCAGAAACTTCCATTTATTTTCCCGAAAATACAGGGTATCTCAAGTAATTACGATAACGTTCCCTTCTGTCGTTCGCTCGATATCTTTGATTCGGAAACTCTTTTCGATAATACGGATATGCAGACGGATATCTATCTTCAGCCACGCTGAGATCACCCTCATAATTCAGATTCCATTTCGACGAAAGAACACTTTTACTATCATCATGGTTGTTAGACTTAACATTACTGGAGATTGATGCGAGGTTTGAGTAATTTGCGTCACGTTTTTCAGTTTGACGACTTAGACGAACCGATAATAAACTAGGATCCAGTAGGATATCATGCGATGACAAATCTTCAGATGGTTCTTCTTTACTATCTGCATCATTTTCTTTATCCTCATTGTGTTGCATATCTTTAATATTATTGCTTGAAAAGTCACTAGTTGAAATTGTGAATGCATTTGATGCGTTATTCAAATATAACGAATCCTTCACGTGTTCTCCAACCTGGGTAGAGTTCTTCACGGGATTTTTAATCAAAGGATATTTAGTATTATTCTGTACATTCTGCTTCAGAGTTACGTGATTTTTTTATATCTCTTACGTCATATACATTGTCCCACGAAGTTTCAATCATTGCTGACGATCCAGTGAACGTTGATTCCGCCAGGATCGCGAGAGAATAGAAATTGAAGAGAATAATGTTGAAGCGTTCCATTTGAATCACGGATTTTCTGGATGGTACAAAGAGTACAGTTTTCAATTGCTGACTAATGGTTCAGAAAGTTGAAGCAAGTCTTTTATAGCTTGCTACTCAGGATTCGTTGCTAAATTACTTGTTAAACATTATCGATATCGTTAAGAGTTCGCTAATCATAAATACAATATTTCTTCGTGGTTGATCAAACAGTAGTTGTTGTAATATTCATTAAATGTTCTTGTACGTATTATTTCATAATCGTTTCATAAATTTATGGAATGTAAGAATTATATTTAAAAATAAATATAATGAATAGATAAATATAATGAATAAAAAATTTTGACAATTTTCTATAATTTTAATTTTTTATTAAAGTTATTAAAATATAAGAAATAAAATATTAGCATATGTATATTAATCAAAATAGAAAAATCAATATTTTATACAACACGAAAAAATATGAAAAATACAAAATTATAACTCATTTGAATTAATTGCTATATGATTGACAATTATGTTTGTCTGTATGATGCAGCATCTGTGCAACGAAGTTTACCGCAAGGTTGATACTCACGTTTATTAACAGAGAAACGATAATTCTTTCAGCATGTCATATAAAACCAGTATGATCCGTTATACCTTGACAGACCTGGAAAATCTTTGGTGAAGCAGTTTCGTGAAGCTACAGAAAGATTATTGCAGTTTTATTATCGAGATGAAAAACGACTTATCGGTACGTTTTTAGATCAATTTTTAGTCACTTGAAAATTTCACTTTTTATATAGCAATTAACTCATTATATAAATGTACGAAGACTATACGCTAAATTTTGCGTCATAGAGTGCAATCTATATAAATTTTTTATTTGAAAAAATTATTTATATTTATAAAGTTAATAAGAAATATGAAATATAAAAAGTATATAATTAATTGAATGTATAATTTATTAAATTAAAATTAATTATTAACTTAGAGTTGATAATAGTATGATGAAATATTTAATTTTTAATGACAAATCAATATATATATGTGCATTAATATTTTAAATACATTTTTTGTAATAATTAAATTCCTCAAATTAAAATCTCGAGAAAGTAAAATCTGTTGTAAATTTAATCGGCAATAGATCCTTAGAAGGCTTGGTGAAAAAGAAGAAAGTGCTTGTTATCCCCGCCACTGAACCTACTAAGGTTTTTACTTATCATATTCTATATATTTTTATATATATATATATACAATTAATTATAAATATTACTTCAACATTCTGTATATCTGCTTCATTAAAGAACACGGTATTTAAAAATACAAATGAATACTGCTGCTATTAACGATATACTTGTTAATTATTAGTGTGACTACTATCATTAGCTTTTATTAACAATAATAAACCCATTCATAGCATGATTCAAAATTAGTCATGTACATAACAGCTGTTTGAAAATGTTAATTAATTATTAAAAAGAATTACGTTTTGTTTTACAATTATTAATTGTTGTTTTATATTACGTCAATTTATTTTTAGTATAGAGATAAATAACTGTTTTTAGGAAAATAAAAAAAATTTAGCATATGTTTCATATATTGGAATTTATTACATTATTATTTAAAAGTAAAATCTTTTTAAGGTGGTGTCACAAAGTGAGCAGATTCTTGTCGTTCCCGTGGCGAATTTAGAGGATGTACGGAAAAATATAACAGAAACTGTGAATGCAAAAACTGATGTAGATGGTTTAATATCTACAGATGTTCAATTTTTTACTGAAAATGGTGAAAATGGATACATAAACTCGGTAAAATGCTATATATTGGTATTCTATTATCGTATAACATATATTTTTTTAAGTATACATATATTCCGATAACATGCATGTTTAAGATGTCGTAGGCTAATATTTCATTCTTATATATAAGATCGTCTTAAATACAGTCTTAAGATATCATAAATCATTCAAAATTATTAGTATCTTATTACAAGACAGGAAATTTGAAATAAAAAGTAGATTACGAATACTGGTCATAAAGATCATCTTATAAACATGCGTGTTGCCTGTATATAAATGAGCGACACTTGTCATGATGTATATTAACTGCCGATGTAATTTATAAAGAAATCGTCAAAAAACATGTGATGGATTGACGTAATGTTATCGAACATATGATCTTCTAGGAAAGTAAAGATCTTTCGTCTTATGCATCGCAGCACGACGATTTATACGAAGCATCAACCGAGACATTTAAAAGTACGCGGAAGCCGTTCCTTATCGATAACATATCTCAAGAAATTCCATATTTTATGCCAAACCCGAGCCAGGAAATAATGCCCTCAGAACATCCACCACTCACAATATCGGTACCAATCATCGCGTTCCTCGAACCCGCAAAAATTTCTGATGATAAAGTTGACGTGCCAATCGCGGCAATATTACCAATGCAAGATGAAATTTCAAAATTGAAGAACAGCCATGACGAAGTTCAACAAAATGTTCAAAATTACGATGATGAAAGTTCGTGGAGCGTGGATCCTAATAATTGGCGACTTGATCTATCCTCTTCGGAGGTAAATCCATTTTTCTCACAATATTTAAGATAATTTCTTTAAATTTTTTATTTTTTAGGAACTATGAAATTTTGATAGACAAATGCTTAAAACGTAATTATAAGGAAACTTCATTACTTCAATTATTATGATTAAATTTACATATCATTATATTATATATACGTTAGATGTTAGAAAATAATGCTGCAGAAAAAAAATTAAATTATAAAATTAAATTATAAAAAAGTCAGTATATCTATATTTTATAGAAAATATTTCAAAATTGCAATAAATTATAATCGTTACCATCAATTTAATTATAACTAATTAAATTAAAGTTAGTTACAAACTTTGCGTTTAAAGATATAAAAATGAATATATTTAGAGGAAGATTTAAAGATGTTTCTTCATAGATGGGAATGTCACCTTCACTGTATGAGTCGAGTACAAAACAGATCAAGTACACGAATGATATTAATTCCAAAAATTCGTTGCCTGCTAAAATGTCTCGTGTTGATATTACACCACTCTTTTGGACTTCGGATGCGGACATTAACTATCCCAAAGATCCACACGATATGGAAGTCGCCGCAAATATTGTTTTTAGACCATTCTTCAAATATCGACAAGAAATGCAGCAGAGATCTTATAGAAATCCGACTTATCGAAGATACAATTCTTACAATTCTTATCCGAGACGAAATTATCGATACAGACCCTGATAATTCCAATGATTATTATTAGTATTTTAACGGTAGTGAACGTTCTTTAATTAAAACAATTTATAAAGCGTAAATAATTATCTTTCATAATTGTCAAGTTAAATTACATACGTTAATTTAAACTATGTAAAAATACAATTTTTTATTAAATTTATTATTTATTGTGATTTTTATATTTTTAACTTGATTTTTAAGTCTATAAAATTTAAATAATAAAATGGACTAGACTAATGTTTGAGTTAATAAATATTTATTAATAAAATATCGACATAATTGTGACTAAACAATTATCAAATAGAAAATTAATTAATTAAAATAAATTATACTTTACAATACTACCTAGTTCTACTTTGTCCCCGTTCTTTAATCCCATTTTTTCTTCCAAATATCTTTATGCTATACTATATAATATTTAAATGAGCAATCGTGCATAATTATTTGTTATTATTGTTTTTAATTAACACGCAATTCAGTTATGCGTCACAGTCAGATTTAAACCTGACAGATTCGAAGGATTATTCCTTGTCTCTTTTATTTAATAAAACACGTTTTCTCACATTACATATGGATTCTTCAAAGTAGAAAGTATGTATATGTTAAATGATCGCGAATTAAACTGCTAAAAAAGGAAACTTTGGAATTAATTTAACATTTACTAGATCGTATCTTGAGATATATACCTCATATTTAGAAATCGTTTGCCAGAGGATCTGACGATAACATAAATGAAACATGTGTCAATATACATATATTCATAAAGTGGAACACAAAGTCTGTGTAAAACAAATATGTGCCGTTTTAAAAAATATATAAATTCGTGGATGCAGATTAATACTGTTTTTATGAGAAAAACGAACAAAACCAATGCTTCTTTCGAAAGTAGCACTTAAAAAGTAGGATAATTAGTACATGTTTAAATCTTATTACCCGACAGAACTAAAGAAAGTAGTAATATAGATTATTTTTCAACGATTGCTTAAAAAAATATTTAATTCCTTAAACGATGTTTTCTATGATTGATATAATTGTTACAACTAATTTTGTAATAAATAAAGCATTGCTTCATGATAATGAAGAACCGAATTGTTATAAGTTTCACTATTATAAAAATTATTATTATATATTTCTTATTAAAATAATATCTATATTTAATTATAACAACTGTATTAAGATAGAATTTTATTATTTACATATTATCAATATTTCTTTAGTGGCTCATTTAATATTAAATGCATAATATTGGAGAAAAATGTTTGTAACATAGGAACAGTTCCTAATATTAGATGACAATAAAATTGCGAACATTAATCAAGGTCTCATCGGCGAATCGTTTGAATGATTATTGGCGTACTTACTAGGAATACGGTAGAAATTACTGCAGTTTGTAGTAAACGTGTCATTGTTAATGCCCTCGGGGCGAATAGTTAGTCACTCGCTCCTTCAACTATTCATTCATACGACGTAAGACAGTGGTTGTCTAATTTTTCGTGATGTCTTAATTTCTTGTCCTTAGATTTCTTAATTAGCGTAATAAATGTGTACCTCGTAAATCATTCAATAATAATTTTAATTAAAATTTAAATATAAAACAATACATTATTTATATACCGATAGTAAGAGTTCAAAATAAATTTTATTATTTTTGTTCTTTATTCCAGAATTACTTTTAAATGAGAAACACTGTCACCGTCATTAGAAGAGTGGGAAAACCGCTTGCATATGCAACACGTGTGAGTCGTACGCACAAATGTTTAGCGCTCAATGAATAGGCTTTTAACACTAGCAGAATTTACTGTGAATTACAAGAAAATGCCTAATCCTTAGTTTACATGAAAGTCAGAAATAGTTTCGGTATCTGTATTATCGTAAAAACCAAGTTTCATAATACTAAACTAAAAAAACGTCTTCAATTCCCAATAATATCTAATTGTTAACATAATACAAAAGTTGTATGAATGTAAGTTTAATATAGTATAAGTACTACTTTATTATAGACTTATTTTTTTATTGTTCACGATATTTATATTATAATGTACAACTCATATTCATACAACTTTTCCATCAAAAAATTCAATTTAAAATATAACACGTGAATAATAAATTATAATAAGAAGTTACAATAAGTTATAAGTTATAATAATAATAAATTATAGTAGTAATAATGGTATATTCAAAAATTCTGCATCTGTATAAATCTTATAAAATTCACAACATCCTGAAATTATTATTTCGCAGATATGATCAAAAGTTTGTTTCCCTTTCCCTTCCTCTGACAGTTTTTTTTTTCATAGAGGACTTTCACCCATCTTGCAAAAGAAACACTATGAATTTTCGAGTCTCTTCATCTGTTTGCGGTTCGTTTACGAAGATGATTCACTGTAGACTCACAGTGGCGGGATTTTTACCAGGAACAAGACTGCTCTTGCTTTACAACGAATCTGCATATCACAGACTCCTGTGTGAAACTAACTTAATTGCGTTCTTCGAGATCGCAGTCGGTTTAGGTATATAACCGTAGCGCGGTCAATCTTTCCCCTCAAACGCCGCTTAAGAGTCCGAGCAAGAACTGGAGAGCGAGCCGCAATCAAGACATTCGCGACAGGAAGAAAGGAAGTACCACTGTATCATGAGATTGACATTGACGGTAAGGATCAGAAATGAAATAATTTATCGAATAATTAATCTAATTTTTGAAATTCTACCTTTTCTTCGATATTAAAAAAAATTTTTATGATTGAATATTATATTCAGAATATTTTATAATTTTAAATATAATATATCAGGTTGAACTTATTGCTTATTTTTCTTTTTTACCGCTTAATTTAACATAATATAATTGAATACAAATTATGTTAAAATAATAAAATCTATATTAAAGATGTAATAGTAAAAATATAATAATATTAAAATATAATATAATATATAAAGTTAATAATCAGTTTTATATAATTCTTTAAAAAATAATTATTATTTAAAAATATGACTATAATGCTATATTATTTCATCAAAAATATAACAGATTTGTCTAATTATAATAATTGATTTAATTAAATATAATAATTAAATAAAATAATAAATATGTAATAATAACATAATAAAATAATAATGTAATAATAAAAAATAACATTAATTTCATTGTCTTCTAACAGTGCTTCTTTTTAATTTTAACTGCTTTTATTAATCATATATACATTTTAAATTAAACATTTTTTTAATCAAAATTTAATTTTAATTTCTTGTTTATTTGCGCATAAAGTTTTTTTATTTGTTTTGATTCATAATGATAAAAAACGTTATATTGCGAAATGTCTTCATTAATCATTAAAAATGGAAATCGTAAAAATTAATGAAATGCCATTTTATTATCTTCATTAGTAGATACTAAGACATAAAACAGACAGGAAAATCATTGAATCAAGATTAATTTTCCATAAATTTGCAGAAGTCATGACATTTTTTATTCCAATTGTCTAAATGGCATTAGAGTATATATTCGCTTAAGGAAATATGTCATCATCGTTTTTATTAAGATGTGATTAAAATTATCGTGTCAAACCACAGAAGATAATATTTATATGTTTCGTCATGTAGTAAAGATTATGCCAACTTTGAGAGAATTTAAAAAGACCTGATTTTTTAAATTTAACATGTAGATATATCTTTTTATGTTTATTAAGTACACTTGTATTTCAACACTTTTCATCTATTCTCTTAATTTTTTATTCTCTTACTTTTTGTAAATAAAATAAGAAAATATTTTTATTGGTAATCTGCATTTAAAAATAAAAATAATATAAAAATTAATATCTTCACAAATAATTAAAAGCAAAATATGTAAATATTAATCTATTTTAATATTAGGTGTTGGAATTAATTCGTAGCGTTTTACAAGTGATGGGAAGTACTTTCATTAATGTATTTTTTAATGCTCATGTGAAATAAATAACATTCTTTCATTAAAAACGCTACGAATTAATTCCAACACCTAATAATTCTAAACTATTAAGAGACCAGCAAATAAGATATTTAAATAAGCAGATCCTTTATAACATTTAATAAAATAGCAAATATAATATAATATAAGTTTTATGTTTCGGCTCACAGAATCTTCATCGGTTATAATAACATAAAAATTAAAATTTACAATCTTAAATCTTACATCTTACTATAAAGTGACAATGAGAGGCAAGTTGGTTCTTTCCGTATATGATGTGGTAATTAAAGATGCATACACCATGTCCAACAATAAAATATGAGTAGTTAGCATCAAAATGTAAAATCCAATAACAAATTCGTTTGACAGCGAGAATTAAGTTAAGTCCAATGTAAATTGTAAGGTAAATATTGTGAAATTGTCCAAAGTTAAATTTAAGTCACTAAAAATTAGAGAATGGAAAGTTACTTTTTAAAAATAACAAGTATTAGTTACTCGTAACTGAGTAGAAAAAGTAACAAGTTACTAGTTATCAATTTTTAAAAGTAACTCGTTACAGTTACTGTTGATTGAGAAAGTAACTTTCCGTTTTTTTTTAAATATCAACAACCAATCACAGCGGATGGATGCTTAAGAGTTTCAAACATTATGAGTAGCTTGTTCAATCGAATCATGTCCAATCGTATGAAAAGTAACGATAAAAGCATCTGTAAAATTCATTATCGTTATCAAAGAAATAAAAGTAACTACGTTATCGTTGCAGTTATAAAAAAAAAGTAATGTATTTATATTTTATTGTTGAACATAATATGTGCCTGTTCTAATTACCACATTACATGCGGAAAGAAAATTCTATCTAGTTGCCGACTTGTCTCTTATTGTCACTTTATAGTTAGATGTAAGATTTAAGATTGTAAGTTTTAATTTTCATGTTATTACAACTGATGAAGATTCTGTGAGCCGAAACATAGGTATTTATATTTTATATTATATTTGCTATTTTATTAAATGGTTAAAAAGGATCTTATTTGTTCGCTCTTGATCGTTTTAGGTTATTGATATATTATTTTGGAAACAAATGAGTTATCTTATATTATTGTTTATACTCTATTTTTCAGCTTTTTTTATTA